TCGTCAGTGCGTGTGCACCAGATTTTCAGTGAACGCCAGGACTCTCAAGCACGGCGCATTAACAATAGGGCTAGGCGGGGCTAAAGCCCCGGGGCCCGAACAAGGAGGGGGCCCTTGATTGGCTGTGGAGCAGATAGCTACTACTAGCCATCTGATTGCCAAAGCCTTACAACGCAACGCCCCCCACAAATTAGCCCTGTAGTGCTTTGCCGAATATTCCATGCATCATCATGGAATCATTATCATTAATATTATAGTGACCGTTCGCAAAGACACGCCTTTTTTAGTTATACGGTGTGACTGACAAGCCAGGCGGGTGAGGCGGCTCTCACGAGTCACTCACATCATGTTCTCACTCACACACTGAAAAATACATCGCGGGGCAAAGACTAACGTTACACAATTGACTACGAGAGAGAGTTCAGAGCAGCTTACTGTTGATATGAAACAAAGTCTCAACTTTTAAATATTGTAATTTAAATAATTTAAGCAATACCGTTTTCAAGTTCAAGTCCACCGACGTTAATCTACTGACAGCTTTGTTGTCGGTCAAAAATTGCGTATTCGGCGTTATGATTGGCCAGGTCGCCTGTCAATCAAACCCCCGTGGGCAGCAGGACAGGGCATGGTGAAATGAAACGTCACGTTTTAATTTAACATAATACATTTATTCTATATTTAACTTGTGAACGATCGACCTGCTGCTGTGCACATAGGCCTATGGCTGCTTGGAGTGCCTGCGCCTTATTAGAATATAGCTACGCATCAACCAATAAATCGCCTCCACCCTTCACTCTAGTCTAGACTATTTTTTAAAACACAGCGTCATCGTCGACCCCACAAATTTTCGGTAAGTTTGATTATTAACTTGATGGATGTTTGATCTTGCTTTTTGTGTTTGATCAAACTCTATATTCTACGGTGGCCGAGAGAGCTCAACGCGCTGCAACTGAAGAAAACGCATGCAAATAGAAGAAAACACATGCAAATAGAAAAAAACACATGCAAATAAAATAAAACGCATGCAAATAGGAAAAAACGCATGCAAATAGAAAAAAACGCGTGCAAATAAAAAAAACACCTGCAAATTAAGAAAACATCTTCATCAGTTTCACAACACACGTGTGCTCCAAATACTCACGCACCACCAAATACATAAACGCGCTGCAAATAACACAGAGCACAACGGAAATGTTTCCAGGGGAACCAAATAAGTGACGAACCCGGCTGGGACGTGCTGGCATCGGCTGGCATAGATATCCATAAATCTATGCGTGCTGGTGCTTACAGCTTAAAATTATACTTTATTTATTTGTTTATTTATTCATTTGTTTTCTGCAAAACATACAGAGATTACATTTTTTATGACATACAACTTGTATACAATGTACAAAATGTATATGTTCAATGTCATCAGAATACAAATGAGAAAAGAACAACTGGAAACTAAAATAAATAAAGAAAATAGATAAAGAAGAAAAACATGAAGGAAAGATATTTATCTATAAGTTACATCACTTACACTGTACAAATTGTTTCATGTTATTACATTTTCATAAAGAAAAGTTTCGTAAGAAATGTTAGGTAATGTAGGGTCCAAAATTTTAAAGTTGAGACACAGATATATAACGCATATTTTAAAAGCTTTTTTTGTAAAATAAAAATAAAAATGTATTTGCATCCGTTATGTTAACAGCATCATATTTCTGTCGTAAGACCAGCTGATGGACACCGTGCTGCGTTGTCATGGGAACATCCCACGTTGTCTTTAGTTGCTCCCTTCATCAAGTGCGTTCCACACGGCTGCCTAACAGCCCACTAGAGCCTTGCTCACTCCAAAAGGGCTCTGCAATCTGCCCTTCGAAGGGAGTATGGCATAGGGAAGCTCACGAGCAATAAGCACGTCTCAGCCGGGTTCGTCACTTATTTGGTTCCCCTGGAAACATTTCCGTTGTGGTCTGTGTTATTTGCAGCGCTTTTTCTGTATTTGGTTGTGTTGTGAACTTTTGCAGCGCGTTTCCTTATTTGGAGCACACGTGTGTTGTGAAACTGATTAAGATGTTTTTTTTAATTTGCTGGTGTTTTTTTCTATTTGCACGCGTGTTTTTCTATTTGCATGTGTTTTTTTCTATTTGCATGCGTTTTTTTCTATTTGCACGCGTTTTTCTCTATTTGCATGTGTTTGCTTCAGTTGCAGCGCGTTGAGCTGTCTCGGCCACCGTAATATTCGCCTAAAGGGCTGGCGATAATATATCCGGTAGAAATATGTAAATTTTGCTGAGACATCATGATGTAAGTTTATAAATTAAACGCGTTTTTAATCATTGTGGTTTGGATACAAATTATTTTAAATGATGGTGAACTTGAGGCGGTTTTGCACAGCGCACTTGAGTTCTGACCCTGAGGTCTTAAAGTGACAGTAGCTGCTAATAAAGCTGCTGTCGCCATTTGTGTCCATAATGTTAATCAAACATCAGAAAGAAAGTAATTTACTGCCCTTGAATGAATCACTTTTGTAAAATTAATAAGAATGAATGTTGAATTTATAGTGAAAACTATGCATTGTATATTTGATTACTTTATACAATATAATATTATTCATTGCTTTAAGTTTTTTAAGGTCGATTTCTTATGTGCCTTTGTTCTATTGTTATTTGTGACTCTTGTCATCGGTAAGCTTGAGATTATTTTCTCAAGTTACTATTCTTTTTTTGTGATCTTGAAATTGGTCACAAGAATTATGAAATGTTATTGCCATTAAATTTTGATATGATAAAAAAACGTTTTAAAAGTAATATAACTTAACTGTGATGTATATCATAGATGGATAAAATGACTCGTATAATGATAGAACATTTAGCTCATGTAGTTGGTGACCTGTAGTGGTGGGGGGCCCTGCAGTAACTCATAGCCCCGGGGCCCAGTGAGCTCTTAATGCGGCCCTGCTCTCAAGTGTCACGCATTGAGCGTGACAGTCACTCATTTCGGTCTTTTGTCACGCTCTCCCGCCACACATTGTATTTCTCACGCTGAAAAACTATTTGTAATATTTAATATGCCGCAGCGCCCAAAACTCTGGCCGCGCCGCTCTCACTCTGTGGAACCGGCATGAATCAAGCGCGTTTCCTACTTTCCTCTGGTGTTGTTCGTCGAGCTACACAATAAGCCAATCAGAAAATAGCACTATTGTATCTGGGTAAGATTTAACGCAACAACCAATGACAAAAATGTATCCAACCCCCCGTCGGCTGGGTGTCACTCTTACCTGTCTTCAAAACTTGAGAGCCCTGGAACGCGCCCGTCTCATCAGCATCCATCAACACCATGGAGTATTTGGAGGTATGCTGTCCTGGCTAATCTACCGATAGATTGCAATTGCCGCCATCACTCTTCGTTACTGCACGAACTTCCGCGAACTTCAGGCGTGTGCATGTGATTGTAACGTGCGCGAGGGGTGGCGTGTGCCCGATCTGTGATTGACAGTCAGATCTCACACCCCCCTGCGCTGATTGGACATGATGAGCCGGGAGCTGTGGATTTTTGCAAAACAAATAACACGCTCCAGGTGGAGTTAGAAGCTCGGGTTTTTTCTAAAACCACTTTATTTATGTTGTTCTGTCAGATTATAGTGTCGATTTCACTGAATATGATCAAAAAAATGTTGCCGACGGCAGCTTTAACAACCGGAGCTAGGACGTCCAAAACAACCAAAAAAAAGAAAAAAAGAAAAGAAAAAAAACACCTGTAAAAATGAAGATGAAAGATCGATGCTGAAGATACGGGCGCGTTTACAGAAAATTTGGTGCACACGCACTGACAAGCACGAACTCGATGGGAGGGTGCTCGGTGGTAGTGAGTAGTCGGGGCATGAGACTTGTAAACAGTCAAAATTTTGGCTAAGTCCCCTCAATCTGCCAGACTTTGCCGACTGCAACTTTAAGTTATTAAAAAATGAAGAATTTAACAAGAAACAAGAATTTAATTTACCAATCACACCATGATATGCTATATAAACCTGTTAGCCCACAGATACATTTATGCAGGTTTATTTCAGTTATTGCATTCATTCAACAAATGACAACAATGAGTAAAAGACAGTTTTAAAGCATCACAAGGTATAAAGGTGTAGCCGTGAAGTTTGCTGTGCTTTATTATTTCGTAACCATCATGTTTTTATTAGTTTGCACATTTTGAGCACTCGTCCCTGACTGAATGATTGCAAGCATTCACTTCGTCTATAAAACGTGCAAACTAATAAAAACATGATAAACGGTTACGAAATGATTTAAGTGTAGCCTATGCATAAGTTCGCACGGTAAAAAAAGTAAACTACTTATTTTTGTTAAAAATATATAATCCATTAAACTTGCTAAAATAGCCCTACAAGTTCTACACGTGCGGATTACATGTGATATAGCCTATTTTCATGTAGTCGCGATGTTATATTGTCATGTCTATAAAACTGATAAAATAAACATAGACCCCACTTTGATAGCCTGGGGCTTATGTTGAACTTTATTCTTGTACAAACAGACGCTGCATACTCGATACAGGCTTTGAAGCTTCAGTGTCATATCACTACCAGTTCATGATCCAGCCCTGATTTTATTGTTAGGTTGGCACATAGTCAATGTTCTTTTTCATTTGTATAGTAAAATACAGATGAGTCACACCTGACACGTTTTGCAAACGTCGTTTAAACACCAGGAAACGGTTTCATTAGCGAGAAAACGAAACCTTTTCCTACTCATAGTGTAGATAAGTGGCTGTATATTTCTATCTGAGTATTCATGAAGTTAAATGGCAGAAGCTAAAATGTCAGTGGCTTGGGATCAAGTTAGCCACAAAATAACATGTTTTGTCTTAGTTACATCTTTTCACCATAGCCTAAAATAAATAAATGGATCCTTGAAAAAGACTTTGGTCACACCTACAAACACACCTCTTTTGCACACGTCTGAGACAGGAAACACTTCTCAGTTGAGAGAAATTGAAACTTAAGTGTTGTTCAGCCGCTGCTGTATCTGTGTATTCGTGCAGTGAAATGGCAGAAACCTGTATGTCAGTGGCTCGGGATCAGTTCAGCTGTTCAATCTGTTTGGATCTACTGAAGGATCCAGTGACCATCACCTGTGGACACAGTTACTGTATGAGCTGCATTACAGACTGCTGGAATAAAGAGGATCAGAAGAGAGTTTACAGCTGCCCTCAGTGCAGACAGACCTTCACTCCAAGACCTGTTTTAGGTAAAAATACTATCCTGGCTGAAGTGGTGGAGAAACTAAAGAAGACAAAAGTCCAAACACCTCGTCCTGCTCTCAGTTATGCTGGACCTGGAGATGTGGAGTGTGACTTCTGTACTGGAAGGAAACGCAAAGCTGTAAAGTCCTGTAAGATGTGTCTCGAATCATACTGTCAAACTCACTTTGAGTGTCATGAAGAATCTCCTTTAAGGAAGCGACACAAAGTGACTGATGCCACTGGACGACTGCAGGAGATGATCTGTCCTCAACATGAAAGACTTCTGGAGGTTTACTGTCGTACTGACCAGCGATGTATTTGTTTACTGTGTATGATGGATGACCATAAAAATCACGATAATGTTTCAGCTGAAGCAGAGAGGACGGAGAAACAGGTATAAACTGATGAAAGCACGTAAGCTATGCTGATTCATCAGAATCAGAATAACTGTCATTATGCCAGTTATTATGCAGTTAATGGTGACATTATCATGCAATAATTTTAATGTTGATAGTTGTAATATCCAGAAACCATTCAAACAAAACTATTTGTCCTCCTCTAGAAACAAGTTGAAAAGATACAAGAAAAATTCCAGCAGAGAGTCCAAGAGAGACAGAAAGAGCTTCAGGAGCTCAGAGAGGCTATGGAGATTCACAAGGTGACAGTTAGGGTTAGTGCTGTGCTGGGCCACTTTCCCATCCCACTGAAAGGTCTGATTGTCTGTGTGTCCTAACAGAGCTCTGCACAGTCGACAGTGGAGTACAGTGAGAAGATCTTTACTAAACTGATCCACTTCATCAGGAAAAGCCGATCTGAGATGACACAGATGATCAGAGATCAGGAAAAGGATGCAGTGAGTCGAGCTGAAGAACGACTGGAGCAACTGGAGCAACAGATTGATGATCTGAGGAGGAGGGAAGCTGATCTGGACCAACTTGCACTCACTGACGATCACATACATTACCTGCAGGTAACTGAGATCTTAACAGTATTGTTGTCATAAGCAACATCTCTCCTAATTTTACTGTAATAATAACTATTATAAAAGCCACTTAAATAATAATACATGCCTGTTAGATCCATTTGCTTTACCAGATCCTGTCAGAAGATAGCGTACTTGTAGCAATGTTCAGGGAAGAAGGAGGCGGGAACCGGCGGACAATCAAAATAAAACTTTATTTTAAATGAAATAAACACAATACCTGCCAGCAGTCCCTCACGGAACTGCTGGCTACCCAAAATAAAATATAACTACCTGCCAGCAGCCCCTCACGGACGACTGCTGGCTACCAAAATAAAACAAAACAAAACACAAACAAAAGCAGGCCTGTTCCTCTCTCGATCATCCACTCCGTCGCTCCTCCTTTATGCTTCCGCTCCTCCGTGAGAGATGCGAGACCGGTGTGCTTCCCAGGTGCTGCTCATTAGCAATCGCACCACCGGCCTCGCGACGTTCTCTCACGTCCCTCGGCCGTCCTGCTCACCACAGTACTGTATCTGTTTTGTTTGGTATTCAAAATCAAAACCAGTTCAAGTTTGGTCTGATACTGGTTAACATTATTATACCAACACAAAGGCAATGGAGCTTTACTGCTTCACAACATCACATGCACACAGTTGGCTTTAAAGTACTCAAATTAGATTGGCAGATCCTTCACATATAACCTTGGATGAGAGCATTATTAATTTATTTTTTAAGTTGTCAGGAACTCTGTCAGGTGCATGGTGTTGAGTTTTATGTTCTTTTTGTGATCTCACTGTACTTACAGGCAACAGAAATAATGTTTAAATATAATATTTAAATATATATGTAAAAATGTTTTATTTACAGTTGCTTGTCTTTTAAATTACTAGAATATCATTGGTTTAAAAAGCCCATGAGATCATGATAATAATTAAAGTAGGCAATGTTTTTCATGAACATGTTTTGCTATACTGGTTGAAAGTCACAGCTACTAGAAGACTTACGACTGTCAGACAGGTTGCTCACGTCACATCTACGTCGTCGTGAAGCTCAAGCCTGCGCAGTGCGCTCATCCATCAGTAAGTGAGTGCTTCACTTTTCTGTGTTGAAGTCTATGGGGTCGCTGTGTCCATTTCTTTGACTGTCTATGATTAGAAGCACTCACTTCCTGATGGCTGAGCGCACTGCGCAGGCTCAAACTGAGCTTGACGACGTAGATGTGACGTGAGCAACCTGTCTGACAGTCGTACGTCTTCTAGTAGCGGTGCCAAGACGAATCTGAATCATTCCCTTCCGAATCTGTCTATTACTGACGAATTCTTTCTACGCACACTGCAACTGTCACAATATGACGTCACGCTCTGCGCGTATGTTTTAAAAAACATAATTTAACATTCTACTTGCCTACTAGTGTTTATTACAAATAAATTACAAATGTATTACAAATAAATTATTAAATGCTAAAAATGAACAAATGTAAATGAACAAAAAGTTGCATTTACAATCCTGTAAAAACAGCCCCGTGCCCCTTTTCTTACCATAGAGATTCTTACTAGTACAATTATTTATTTATTTGATGCAAAACAAGATTTGCGATTGCCCATTTTCCTTCCCAATTCCCACATGCGGTGCTACACTTCAAAATAAAATCCCTGTTAGAATTAATTAATAGCATGTTAATTGTGTCAGTGACCACAAGAAAGACAACTCAGATATATTTTGTTATTGAAAAATAATATAATTTATCACTGCATTAATTCACATCTTTATACTCTTGAAAATACTTAAGAGCATAGAAAACACACCAGTGTTTCCTCTAAGTAAACTTGGTGCTGGTCAACATGTCTGGTAGGCTAATAATAAAGTTTACCCGACAAAATATCATGTCATTTTGGTGTTTATTAAATATCAAGGGGAGGATGCTGCCAATGAAGTTTTTGTGTCTTTATATCTTTAATATTTCTGTTTATTTATTCTCTCTAGAGCTTCCAGTCTCTCTCTGAACCTCTGGAATCCACTGATGTATCCAGAGTTACTGTCAGTTCTGTCCTCTCTTATGTAGATGTGAGGAAACCTGTCTCGAAACTGAAAGAACAACTAGAGAAGTCCTGCAAAGAAGAGATGAAAAAAATATCTGGTCAAGGTAAAGTGACAGTAACAGTTACACCAGAAAAGAGTTACATTATGTAACAAACGAAAAGAAGCTTGAGGATGTTAAAAATAAATATGAAAGTGATATATACTTTTTGAAAAATTATTTCAATCAAGAATTTGAACTATTTGTTTACATTTAATCGTTTAGCAGACGATTTTATCAAATATGTAAGTGCTGTGAAAAGTCCCAGTTAGTCTAGCACATTAGCAAGTATTTAAAAAAATAAAAAAATAGAAAGAAAAATAGATAGATTATAAATAGAATAGTAAATGTTAGTATTAATGGGTCACGTTTTGACGAAAAAGATGAGTCTTTGGTCGTTTCTTAAAAATGGGAAAAGACTTGGCAGCTCGGGTTGTGTTAGGCAGGTCGTTTAACCAGCAGGGAATAGGTCAATGAAAGTGATTTTGGGATGGCACCACGAGACACCATTCAGTTGTGGAACGCAAGCTTCTGGATGACATAAGACTGAAGTTGTGATTTTTATAACTATTGTAATTATGTATATGTGTTTATTTTCTCAGTAACAAACATCAACATCATTTCCATTAATAAACCCAAGACTAGGGTGCGGTTACCGTGTAAGTCATTATGAAAACACACACACACACACACACGTTTTTTAATTGTGATGAGCTGTTTCAAAAAAATATTTTTTAAAATCAGGTTATGAGGCAGATCATTAGCCGGTTATTAGTTTCTATATAGTGTTTCAGCAAAGTTACACATACAGTATAATGAACGGGGGTTTCAGAAAATTTTGTGTTAAATACCGGTATGCCACCTTATTTTAGCTCCGACAAAGAGAATCCTGACTATTGTCAGTTTTTTTTTTAATTCAAGACTCAAGAGACACATATTCATTGCTGCCTCTCACGGGGTGTCATACATCTTAATATTCAGAACAATGTTCAAAATGTTGCTTCTTGAAAGTTCAAAACAAAATTCAGTTAAGAAGACCACATAAGGTTATATGGCAACGTAATGAAACGTGATGCAACAACTGTGCTTTTTAAAATGCACACTGAAAACTGTCCAGAGGATCTCAAAGCTCTGCTACCTCCACCTGATCTCGTTTGCCGAACCACTCGAAGAGCACAACCAAGTCACGCCCTAAAACGATACTGGTTACTAACGTAACCTCGGTTCTCTCTAGAAGAGGGAACAAGTATTGCGTAAGTTTAGCATACACTACGGGAAAGATTCATCTTCTCGAGATATTGAAGCCAAAAATTTTTCCTTAATTTTGTATATGTTGTCAATGCAGTGCAGCAGCTAGCAGACCTAGAGCGGGCATTCTAGCACGCTCATAGGCTGCTCTGCGGGAACTGCACAGCCTACCAGTGAGCCCGACGTGACGTCACGTCCAATCAAGCCGTCCTAGCCCGCCAGAATGGGCGTGGCTTGGCGTATATAACCGAGGCTCGGAGGCTGATTCTCTGGTTTTCATCGACTGAAGCGAAATAGCGCTTGTGGCGTTTAGCACGGCAGGTTACGCAATACTCGTTCCCTCTTCTAGAGAGAACCGAGGTTACGTTAGTAACCAGTATCGTTATCTTACGAGAGGTTCTCTCGTAATGCGTAAGTTTAGCTTACGCTACGGGAACCCATTGTCCACGCCGTGCGCGCCCACATCCACCTCATGAGTCACAACACTTCTGTGAACCCAGAAAGTGGGAACAACACGCATGTACATAAGCGCGAGTATAAGCGCGAGTACTATGAGCGTCTAAGCGGGTGTAAACAAGCACTGACAGGCAATACAGAGCGGCCGTGTGTGGCGGGTGGCATATATAGCACATAACCTGAAACAGCGCAGCTCAACCAGAAGAGCTGAATTCACGTGAGGGTAGTCTGCGCATGATAGTATCTGGACAGGGCTAACCTCTCACTTAAACAGACAGCAGTTTCGCCTGCAGGGCGGGAACTTCTAGGTTATAAAACCTGACAAAGGTGGACGGGGAGGACCAGCCCGCCGCCACACATATGTCTTGAATGGAAATTCCACTTGACCATGCCCACGACGAGGCCACGCCTCTAGTGGAATGAGCCCTGATGCCCAAAGGGCACTGCAGACCTTTTGCCGTGTAAGCGGCTGCGATAGCGTCTACTATCCACCTGGACAGGCTCTGTTTCGAGGAGGCGAGACCTTTAAGTGCGCCCTCCGAACGAAACAAACAGCTGCTCAGAGCGCCTGAATGGGGCGGAGCGCGTAATGTACAATCTCAGAGCTCTGACTGGGCAGAGGAGACTAACATCACTTTCGGATGCTGGCAGAGCCGATAGAGAAATGACCTGTGCTCTGAATGGGGTGCCAACCACTTTGGGAACGTAACCATGTCTAGGCTTGAGGATGACTTAAGAGTCATTTGGGCCAAACTCAAGACACGATGCGCTTACAGACAGCGCGTGTAAATCCCCCACGCGTTTGACTGATGACAGTGTGATCAGAAAAACAGCTTTGAGCGACAGGTATTTCAGGTCCGCTGTGTTCAGGGGTTCAAAGAGGAATGCTTTCAGGGCCTCTAGGACCAGTGAAAGGTCCCAAGTAGGAACCGAGGGGGGACGCGGGGGGTTCATCCTTCTGGCTCCTCTGAGGAAGCGGATGATAAGCTCGTTTCTGCCTATTGACTGGCCATGCATTGATTCAGAGAATGCTGCGACAGCCGCCATATAGACTTTGAGCGTGGAGGGGGATCTGCCCCTATCCAGCAGCTCCTGAAGGAAACTGAGCAGCCGCGGGACCCCACACGTTCGCGGATCCAGGCTTTTGTTAGTGCACCACTTAGAGAACATAGACCATTTGGACGCGTAGAGCCTTCTGGTAGAAGGTGCTCTAGACTGCGATATTGTGTTCATTATTGCGTCTGGCAGGGATACCCGTTGATCACCCACACGTGCAGCGACCAACGCTCCGGTTGGGGATGCCAGATCGAGCCGCGCGCTTAAGAGAGGAGGTCTGCTCTCAGCAGGACAGGCCATGGGGCTGTCTGTGACAGCCGCATTAGCTCTGGGAACCAAGTCTGGTTCTCCCATCGCGGGGCTCGCGGGGGAAAAAAAATGAGCACTGAATGGCGCGTTTCCCTGATTCTCTTGATCACCTGTGGTAACAGAGATACAGGAGGAAATGCATATAGCGGACGGCTGGGCCACGTCCGGGCAAGTGCGTCCCTGTCCTTCGAAAAGAACGTCAGGCAGTGAGCGTTGTCTTGTAACGCAAAAAGGTCGACTTCCGCTTTGCCGAAAAGGCGCCATAATAACTGGACTGTTTGGGGGTGCAGGGACCATTCTCCCGGGGGACCGTTGTCCCTGGACAGTCTGTCTGGGCCGTCGTTCAGGTGACCCAGCACATGTGCAGCTCTCAGTGAGCGCAGATGGTGCTGAGACCAAACGAGGAGGCGTTCCGCCAGATTGCAGAGGTTCCTGGATCTGACGCCGCCCTGGCGATTTAAATAGGACACCACAGACATGTTGTCCGAGCGGACTAGAACATGGTGGTCCTGAATGAGCGGGAGGGAGCGTTTCAGCGCGTTCTCGACCGCTATCATTTCCAGACAGTTTATATGGAGGAGCTTTTCCCGGTCTGACCACAGGCCGAAGACTGGTCTGCCCTCGAGGGTGGCGCCCCAACCTGAGTTGGACGCATCCGTCGAGATGACCTTTCTGTATGAGACCACCCCCATAGTCACTCCCCTCTGGTACCAGTCGGCCGCTGACCAGGGCTGCAGAGCTGTGATACAGCTCTGAGTCACTCTGATCCGCTCACGACCTGACCTCCAAGCTCGGTGTGGCACACGCGCGGCCAGCCAGTGCTGTAGCGGGCGGATGCGTAGTAAACCTAGCTGGAGTACCGCCGAGGCTGAAGCTATCAAGCCTAGCATCCTCTGGAATTTTTTCAGAGGGGAAACGCTGCCCGCCGTGAATGACATGGCCAGTTGCCGGACACAGCGTGCGCTCAGAGAAGGCGGTACCGGTTCTATGGCCCCTTTGCACAGCAGTTTTGTTATTTCCGAGCGAAGTAGGAGTACTACTTCTGCTTTCACTGTCGTCGCGGTCCGCGCTCGAAATCGAGGGGGACGGCGAGCGAACTGTAACGCATAACCCTGCTTTATAGTGCTTAGCACCCACTTCGAAACCCCTGGGATGTTTTCCCATGCTTTTATATGTGCAGCTAAGGGTAGAATGGACTCCGGGCTCTGGTCGCCGCGCTGTGCGGGCTTGAGAGACTGAACAGGAGGAGCGGGCGCATATGTGTGCTTATATGGGGCGGCTCGCTGAAAACAGTGACAGGCTGTTTTATATGCAGCTTCCTGATTACTGTGAATGGGGTGAGCTTTGTGATCACATTGTGATGCGCGAGCGGCGCCTTGAGAGGCGTGCAGGCTTGTAAGCGAGCGGACGCGGGACTTACAACCATAGATTAACCGGCATGAGCTTGCGCTTTGTGGCGTGTGTTTAACAGCACTGGCGAAGCGCGTGTCAGTAAGCGTGAGCGCTTGTGAGCGGGCACGAGACTTACGTTTATATTGTGGCTCATGTGGGACTGTGGTGCGCGCGCGGATTTGTGTGAGGCGCGCGGCTTGGCCGTGTGACAGAGCGGGCAGATAGAAGATGTGTGCGCGTGGGCACATCTGCTATGGGCAACACTCGAGCAGCATTTGCCTGCTTCATGAGAGTGGGCTCTATGTGGGACACGGGAAGTGTTGTGTTTACATGTAGGGGTGAACACTGGGTTGTGGGCACTTTTACTACACATAAAACACCTTCGGCATGAGCCGGATAACCAGATAACTTGCTCTCTATGAGATTTCTCTGGGTCGCCGTAAAAACGGTGTTTGTGTGCAGGCGAGCGGGTTGTGTAACCGACTCGTTAACTGCTAAATGATCTACTGCAGTAGCCTGAGATGAGGGGACTGACAGGGCTAGAAGTTTGGACGGTGGTCCGGCCGCGGCGAGACACAACCGTCTTTTTCCTCCTGATGGTGCTAGAAGGGCTTCGCGTGCTCGGGTTTCAACGTGATCTTCGGCCGAGGCCCTCGTGGGGGGTGCGGCCTGCTGCGGTTAGCTGAGCGCGATCTAGGGCGGCCGCCCTGTCGCTGCGAAGATTGGCTGTTCTGTCTGGAGCTAACGCGACGCGGCAGGAACAGGTTCATGGCTTGCGACGTTTTCTGCACCTCAGAAAAACGTTCGCCGATTCCGTTCACTGCTGGGCCGAAAAGACCGGAACGTGAGAGAGGGGCGTCGAGGAAAACGGATCGCTCAGACTCTCTCATGTCAGCCAGCGTCAGCCAGAGGTGCCTCTCAGTTACAGTTAACGAGGCCATGCATCTCCCCAGGGCCTGGGCCGCAGACTTGGTAGCGCGAAGGGAGAGATCCGTCGCGCTCCTCAGGTCCGAAACAGCAGCTGGGTCCCGGCCTTTCTCTTCCCACTCACGGAGGAGATCGGCTTGGAGAATTTGCAGAACAGCCATTGAGTGCAGGGCGGAAGCTGCTTGTCCGGCGGCGGCGTATGCGCGACCGACAAGGGCAGATGTGGTCCTGCAGGCTTTAGATGGTAGGGCAGACTTTGAGCGCCATCTCGCGGAGGGCGGGCAAAGGTGCGCTGCGACAGCTTCCTCGACCTTTGGAATGGAGCTGTATCCCTTCTCGGCGGCGCCGTCCACTTGGGAGAGCGACGCGGAGAAAGAGGAATGAAGCCTCGCGGAGGAAGGGGCATTCCACGATTTAGCCAGTTCCGAGGGCAGCTCAGGGAGGAAGGGCGCGGGCCTGGAAGCGGGCGCTTGACGGCGACGACTCTGAAGAAAGCAGCCATCAAGCCTGTTGGGGGCGGGCTCCTGAGGCGGCGACCACTCAAGCGACCACTCTTTTTCCTGCGCGGTGCAGCAAAGGGCGGAGAGATAGCTTCGTCCTGGAAGGCTTCGAGTCGAGCCCGCAGGGTCGACATCGGAAGATCCTCACAGTGCTCACATCCTCCCGAAGAGAGGGCAAGAGCAGCATGTTCCTGTCCCAGGCAGAGAGTGCATATAACGTGGCGGTCTCCGACGCTGAGAGGGGCTCTGCACGAGCCTCAAGTGGACCGAGGCATCTTAAAAAAGACGCTCGTGCTCTTTTAGATGCTCGGATTGCAAGTGAGAAAAAAGGATACAACGCCGGATAGCATAGCTCGCTTCGGAAGGCTGAAGGTGGCGAAGGCGGCCGACTTCCTCAGTCGCTGTCCTAGCTGGCTTGTCGCTGTTCAACGGCGGCGGCTTCTCAAGGTCCAGCGATGCGAGCAGCTTCGCTGAAGAGATGAAAATCAGAGAATCAGCCTCCAACCCCCGTTTATATACGCTAAGCCACGCCCATTCTGGCGGGCTAGGACGCGGCGAGGGTGCGAGCGCCCTCGATTGGACGTGACATCACGTCGGGCTCACTGGTAGGCTGTGCAGTTCCCGCAGAGCAGACTATGAGCACGCTAGAATGCCCGCTCTAGGTCTGCTAGCTGCTGCACTGCGTTGACAACATATACAAAATTAAGGATAATTTTTTGGCTTCAATATCTCGAGAAGATGAATCTTTCCCGTAGCGTAAGCTAAACTTACGCAATACGAGAGAACCTCTCGTAAGAGAACTCCCCAAGTCTAACACCAAATGCTTGGGGAGGAGCTTTCTTCATTCGGCTGTAACAACTTGGAACTGCCTCCCCTGTACTGTAGTAGGTGAAATCACCTCAAAGAATGTTCAGGCCTTCAAGAAGAGACTAAACAAACATCTTCTTAGCAAAAAAACTGCAATTTCTTATCTTATCCCATATTCCTAGTTCCGAGTAGCCGCAGATCACGATAGGCTCTCGGGTCAACTGTTAAAGCCTGTATCTGCTAAGCATTAATAAAAAAAATTTAAAAAATGAATGAATGAAGGAATATATATATGAGCCAAACATTTAACAAACGTCCTAACCTTTTTTATATATCAAATGCATATTTATGTCCCTGTTACACTTAATTTTTCGGGTTAAATAAACATTACATAAAAAAGAGAGACCAAAAACAATTCTATTTGGTATTTTTAGACTATGTAATGTTCTATTTATTAAAACCAAGTATAAATTTGATCAAGTTAGTGTTTTTACGTATTTTTACATTTATTCCAAAATATTAACTCAAGGCAGTAACAATTTAAGCAATGTATTTTTGTTTGTGAACTAATGTACAGCTTTTCTTTTTAATAGTCCTTGCAGATTCTGACAGCGAAGAATCAGACCTTGATTTTGGTTATGGATGAACAAAGAGACGAATTCCGAACACTCAGGACCCTAAATCAGATGATCTTCCATTTGGGATGCCATTCACTCTAGAAAACCCCAGATGATCCTAGCTAAAGGAAAAACATAGTCAATGATAGGCAGTTAACCCAAGACTAATGGTCAAAAAAGGATGAGACATCGTGACTCACACGAAGAAAACCACAAAGATAACGTTGATAAGGTTGTTTGATCCCCGAGATATAGATACAGAAAAGACTTTCTTATTCTTAAAGACCATCAAATTCCTTATTAAAAACTCAAAAGATTCAAAGAACCAACCAGTATCAACGTAGGCAGACAATGAGATGTATACTCTGAAAAGAATTAAAATGTCCACACACTGAAATTACAGCTCCGTACAGTATATATTAACATAAATATGAACAGCGCGACGTTTCGACAGATCAGGTGCTGGTGCCTTATGAAGACCTGATCGATAAAAACGTTGCACTATTCATAAATAAATATAGGTATGCTGTATGGAGCTGTAACTTCAGTGAGTGGAGAGCAGACATTTTAGTTTTTTCCTGCACCTGAGCCCAATTTGGTTATAGGATGTGCTCACCTTTTTGTATTTTTCGACTCTTTACTGCATAATGGTTTAGTATGTGTCTGCTGAATGTAGTCCATCATCCAGTCCTGGCTTCAGCGAGATTTATTTATTTATTTGTTTAAAATATGAGATGATTTTCAAAAAGGGTAGGCATTATAAGCAAGAGCTTCAGCCTACACCTGTTTCAGACAGAAGTAAATATGCTGTAGTTTGTCAGCTGAGCTGTGTTTAAACTAAGTTGTCTGTCTGAAATAAACCAAATAAACCAAAAATAAACCAAACTGATGTTCTTTATTATCTGAACTAAACTACAGGTGAGTCACACTAGAAAAACATAAGTGTTTTGCATGTCTCTGAAACACCAGGAAACTTTCAGCTCTTCATTTCAAACATAACGAAACAAGTGTTGTTAACCCACTATTACATAACATATTAACTTTCCATAAAAACTAAGTAACCGAATTCGTTACTTTTTTAGGGTGTAACGCAATATTGTAATGGATTACTTTTAAAAGTAACTTTCCCCAAAACTGTTCATATAGCAACAATCAGAAAACATACAAAACAGTCATTGATCATTGAGGAAGCTATGCATGCATCAAACTTTTATACTAACATATTTAAATTCTGTATCATTTTATATTGTGGACTGTATATAAACATGTTATGTGAAATGGCCTATTCAGGACAGTACTAAATAAAAAAATAAAAGGTAGTTTTTATGATCCCTATTATAAAAAAAAAAATGATAAACATCCTTGCAAATTCTGTGGGTACAATATGAGAGCAACTATATAGGCTATATATAATTTGTGTTAGTATTGTGTTAGATGTGTTTGGAATAAAAAAAGCAGTGTGTTAGTGTTAGAAAAATGTCTTGCAGATGGTGAAGTATGAATGACAAAAGTGTTCATGGATTTTGGAACATGTGGTCATTAAATGCATTTTGTGTGAAAGCAATGACAAATTATTCACAGTTTGGTCCTGAAAGACTTCTGTTTCACTGAATGTGTGAAGAGTTTTGAAAATGTGGCTTTAGTATTGAATGGTGCTTGTTAGCTTTTGCTAAAAAAAAAACTGAGTAATGGGTTGCCTGGTTAAAACCAGACCATTCTCAGTTGTAACTGAGTTATGGTCTGGCAAAGCGTCATAGACAAATCATTTCCAGAGGGGCGTCACCAACGGACGTCGCGGATAGACCTAAAACCAATCAGAGCGATGAAGGAGATGACGTATGCGAGCGGCGGAGAAACATCTCCGAGTGTTGTTCTTTGCTCGGTTTTTAACAAAAAGGAAATGTTCAAATCGCTTAAAACAGACGCGAAAGCTGATTCGAACGAGTGATGTTCGACGGCGGCATCCATCTTTGTAATGGCTACAAAATCTGCTTCAAAATCCCAGCGCTGTCGACATCGTGTAAAGCCCGCCCCAACGTTTCTGATTGGTGCCTCGATTTCGACGGATTGGAAATGAGCTTGAATGAGCTCTTTGCCAGACTAACTTTCAGAGCAAATCTAAATCTGCCGGAAGTTGTCTGGGTTTTCCCAGGCTAAGTAATGAGTCTTAGCAATTATAAAAACTGTGATTAATTAAAGCCACATTAAAACGACATTATTAATAAGTTTGCTCAGTTTCATAAAAAGATTCACTGATTCATTTAGGCCATCAATACTGTTCCCATTTAGCCTACTTTCACAGAAAAATCTAACATCATAACAAGGATGTTATACAGCTTATTACCGGTATGTATATGCACCACAACAATGTTTGGTGTTCAATGTTCAAATGATGTTTGTCAACTTTATTTGCATAGTGCACTACTCCCACTGTGAAGTCTCTAAACCACAAGCGCTCTTTGCACTCAGGAGTTAGGAATCATTTTTCTTTACTTTGAGAGCTTTTTTTCTAAATCTTGAGAGAAATTTTACATTGTTTTTTCACTTTTTAATTTCTGTATTTTCCCCCCAACAATTTGTCTTAACTGACACATCTAAAAAGTTTTGGATCAGATTATTGTCCCAAAAAGCTTTCAGTCAGAGAAACAAACGTGCAATGGCTCCGTTTTTATCAACATACTTCTTAGTTTTGATATCAGCACAACTGGTGAGTATTTCTCCTTACATTAATGTAATCTTATATATATATATATATATATATATATATATATATATATATATATATATATAGTGCTGGGCAACGATTAATCGCATCAAAGTTTGTGTTTACATAATATATGTGTGTGTGTACTGTGTATAATTAATTTGTATATATAAATACACACACATGCATGCCATGTACACTCACCGGCCACTTTATTAGGTACCCCATGCTAGTAACGGGTTGGACCCCCTTTTGCCTTCAGAACTGCCTCAATTCCTGTGGCATAGATTCAACAAGGAGCTGGAAGCATTCCTCAGGGACTTTGGTCCATATTGACATGATGGCATCACACAGTTGCCGCAGATTTGTCGGCTGCACATCCATGATGCGAATCTCCCGTTCCACCACATCCCAAAGATGCTCTATTGGGTTGAGATCTGGTGACTGTGGAGGCCATTTTAGTACAGTGAACTCATTGTCATGTTCAAGAAACCAATTTGAAATGATTAGAGCTTTGTGACATGGTGGAAGTAGCCATCAGAGGATGGGTACATGGTGGCCATAAAGGGATGGACATGGTCAGAAACAATGCTCAGGTAGGCCGTGGCATTTAAACGATGCCCAATTGGCACTAAGGGGCCTAAAGTGTGCCAGGAAAACATCCCCCACACCATTACACCACCACCACCAGCCTGCACAGTGGTAACAAGGCATGATGGTTCCATGTTCTCATTCTGTTTACGCCAAATTCTGACTCTAACATCTGAATGCTTTGCGATCCTTTTATGTCAGAAAATATGTTATCTAAACCCGCCCCCAGCCCCCGAGGTAAGTAAGACGTGGTAAAAGAACGGTTCTAGTCCATCAAAGAGTTGGTGCCGCTTTGGAACCAGTTTTCCTGGCCGAGAACCGGTTCTTTGGCTGTCGAAACACAAAGAACTGGTTCGCGCGCAGGCACCGGCTCCGAACCGGCTCTCAAAATGCGTTGGTGGAAAAGGGGTATGTGTGTGTGTGTGTGTGTGTGTGTGTGTGTGTGTGTCTGTGTGGGGAGGGGAGGGGAGCGGAGGGGAGGGGAGGGAGGGAGGGTTGGTGTCTGTGTTTATGTGTGTGTGTGTGTGTGTGGCTGGCTGTATGATTTTTCCTGCATTAAAGGATAAAGAAATCTCTAAGTCCTTGTCTTTTCGCATAACAATTTTTGTATTTTTTTTAAATGACAAAATATGCATATAACCCCCATCTTTTAAATGTATAGTTTGCTTTAAATAAAAGTAAGATTGTTTTGGTAATTGAAGCTGAATGAATTTAAAATTCATGTGCTATATTTCAATATATTTGTTTTCCTTAAAATTTTAAAACACTAACCTCATTCTCATCTGAATTACAAATATTTTTTTTTCTGTGTGAAATAATACTCTGACTAAAAACACTTTTGATGTTTCTTTTTTAATCAATGTAGAATGTGTAACTTAAAAATAAACAGATTAGAGCTCTGTTTGAGGACAATCCTGTGTGGGGAGGTGGCAGGGGGATTTATCTTTTGGGTGAGATTTAATTAAAATTATTGTTTTTCAAGGTAGCATTCTAATCAGGTAAAGCAAGTAATATTCTCTGTATCTTTATATAAATATACACACATGGTGGTAATGGCGCAGTGGATAAGACACATGCCTTTGGTGTGAGAGACCCGGGTTCGAATCCACTGTGAGACACCAATGTGTCCCTGAGCAAGACACTTAACCCCTAGTTGCTCCAGAGGTGTGCGACCTCTGACATATATGGCAATTGTAAGTCGCTTTGGATAAAAGCGTCAGCTAAATGAATGAATGTAAATGAATATGTGTGTGTGTGTGTGTGTGTATATATATATATATATATATATATATATACAGTATATATTAAAGAAAATGTTATTTATTTATAAAATATTTTTATTTATATATAATATAAATTATGTATAAATATATATATACACAGTATATGCAAATATTCCTTAAATATATACATGCATATGTGTGTATAAAGGCCTATACAAAATAATTATACGCAGTACACACAAATATTATGTAAACACAAACTTTTATTTTGGATGTGATTAATCGTGATTAATCGTTGCTATATATATTCCTTGTAACTATTCAATAGGTTAAGTGTTCTTATATTCACATCATATAATCTTTATAGGTCGAATCATCTGGTGTGTTTGAGTTGAAGGTTCACTCTTTCACAACCAGCAGCAGCAGCAGCAGTGTGTGTGAACAGTCCAGAGGATGTAAGGGCTTTTTCCGTGTTTGCCTGAACTACACGCAGGATGTCTTTTCATATAGGCTGGCATGTTCAGATGACACTGGACTGACAGGAAAATTCAGCAAAGACCAGAGCTCCATTTCCACCAGTGCACCAATAACTGTGCCCTTTAACTTAAAGTGGCTGGTGAGTAGCTCAAAGTGAATGAACATTGAAAAATATAATATCATGCTACAGTAGGCCTACATATAGCACTTTGCATAGGCATACACAACAAATGTCATTATTAAAGGTGGGGTATGTGATTTTCTTTTTTGACCATTCTTTCAAAATCACTTGAAATCCTATTCCAACCCACCTACACCCACCGAGTTAGAAGCACTGAAATGAAAATTAAGCAAATTAATCATCTGTGGAACGGGCAGGACTCGGAAAACTCCAGCCAATCATTTCCAAGACCACCTAGAATCATTGGACAGAAAATGCGTCAATCAAACGGTCGTACCATACCCCCCTCCCCCATACCCCTCGCCCGCATGTCCCCTTCGTGCGCATACGCAAAGCTCGTGACCCAGTCACAGTACGTGCAAGTCGCCCCGGTACAGAGTGAGAGAGAGTAAATCTCGCGCATCTGAGTTTTGCAGATGCATGATTGCGCGTCCATGTTCTTCGAATGGGTGGAGTCAGGGCCAGCGTTGAAGGAAAGAAGGTAGGACCTTTTGAGTTGTGTATTTTCAAAATCTGCCGGCCGTTTTGCAAATCCCATACCCTACCTTTAACCGACAGAAATCACTCAAATAGATCCTGAAATAATCACGTCTTTCTCACTAACGCTTAAAAGAAATGTGACTGCGGTCAGAGTCTTTGTTTAGCCAAGACTATGAGCCATTTTCTGCCAGTAAATCATTCCGTGGATTCTCAAGGAAGCCCATGGGAATCAGGAAGCGGGGGAATACAGTTATCAGATTGTCATGTGAGAACGCTATGTTTCTACCGTTGTGTTGATTTTGGATTTTGACTACTAAAAATCAAAATTCCAGGATAAAGTAGATTAGATATAAAGCCCTGTGAAGCTCTGAAAAAGCTTTAATTTGATCATGGAGGGAAAAAAATTAAAGTATCGTCGACTGAGCATCGACAACAGTTCCATCTGCTGCTTCGTAACGTTTACAGTTGCCATAAAGCCGAGAATTAAAGGCAGGGTAGGCGATTTGTTCCAAAACATTTTTTTTATTATGCTGGTTGAAAGTCTCTTCACATCTCGATAGGCTAGCAATCACTAAGTGGTCTAAATGTATTTATATATGTGTATATACATATCGTCTGTGGAAGGCATAGGACCATAAAATGTTAATCCAATCACGATTTCCTCCCTGCCTGTCAATGTATGTATTTCCATACCTCCACGTACGTTGCTCACGCAGACATCACACGTCATCAGCGTGTTTAATGCTTTGGAGAGTTAGACAGACGTCAGTCACCGAGCACCACAACCCAAACAGCAGCACCTTTTACAGTTCCTCCTGAACCAAAACAACACGCTCACCCTGCGTTGTTCAAGCCATAGGCCGTAACTGTCATTTGGAAGAGTTGAAAACCCATGATGTTATCGGAGTGGTTTGTTACTTGAATTTATGCATTTCAATAGGAACACATATCAACGCAGAAATAATTCTGTAGCAGTCAGGTGGTACAGGTCAGGGCTCTTTAAGTTGTTTATGTTCATTATTAGTGTACTGTTATGTGCTTTGAGACATGAGGTAGTTTAACGCCGTCTCTCGTGATGCTTTGTCCCTTGCTGTGTGCGTTCATGTGTTTTGAAGGAGGCGTGGCTTTGGAGACGATCTGAAGAGAGGGTGAACTTATGCTTTCAAAGCTAGCTCACTATTGCTAGCCCCTCTGAAAATCGCCTACCCTACCTTTAATATGCAGGCTATGTGATATTTCTTACAGAGTATAGGCCCTATATACATTTGAACTCAAATATTACATCATAAACAAACAAAATACCCAACAAATAAGGTTTTTGATATATGATTGGAGCCTTGGTGTCATATGTAACACAACTAATGTAAAGTTAAGTTCACTGTTTAATTTTATCTGTGACATTGAGATGATGCATTTTTGCTCACCTGTCACCCAACGACAGCCTAAACTGACACTCTGTTCTATTTCTCTTTAACGCTCTTGCGCTACATCCGACAACAGTACAAATGGATTTGGAGCGTTTTCTTTGAGTGCAACACCCCAGCGCCCAGTGTAGCACGGTGTTACAAAATTACTACTGTCATTACAGGGAACTGTCTCAGTGATAATTGAAGCATGGAACACAGAGTCCTCCAATGATCAGTCAACAGGTATGGCTATGCCCCTTTTTTTTTCTATTTCACATTTTATTTACAGACCAGTGTTTAATAATGCATGTATTGTTTTTCAGAGAATCTAAACAGTATGATTAGCCACTTTTCCACAGAAAGAAATCTTACTATTGGTGAGAAATGGTCCCAGGATGTGCATCTTGGAGAGCAAAGTAAACTGCACTTTTCCTACCTCGTAGTGTGTGATGAATTCTTCTATGGCGATGACTGCTCTGATTTCTGCCGTCCACGAGATGACCCGTTCGGTCACTTTAACTGTGACGCCGCTGGAAATAGAATTTGCTTGCCTGAATGGAAAGGCGAATATTGTGCAGAACGTAAGTGTTTTTGTCCATTAACATCACGGTAACACTTTACAATACGGGTGCACTAATAAGCATTAATTCATGCTTAACTAATGCACAGATAATACTGAATTAATGTGTAACCAATGATTATCTAAGCTATTCATTAATGATTACCACATTAGGAACTAATTAAGAGTCTGTATGGTTAATGTATTAGTTCATACATGCATTGTTATTAATTAAATATGTAATTGTGGATTAATTCCCTAATAACTCATTTTTTTTAACTAATAGTGTTAATTAATATGTTAATTACCAGAATGAGCCAAAGCCTTGTATTTCAACTTCCAGATAATACAGGTACACTAATATGCATTAATACATGATTAATTACTTCATTGTTAGTGCAAATTCATGTGTAAATTACTACAATTACTAAATGACTAGTTAATAATGATGTGCCTGAACTAGTAAAGTCATAACATAATGATACCTTTGCAAATCATTAGCTAATGATTAATTAAAGCAGACAACTGGTAGTTGAAGTGCATAGCTTTGACTAATTGTGGTAATTAACACATTAATTTACACTATTAGTTAATAAAATATGTTATTAAGGAATTAATACACAATGACACATTGAATTAATAGCAATTCATGTATTACTTAATCTATTAATCATATAGACTCTTTATTAGTTGCTGATGCAGTAATAATTAATTAATGGTTTAGTTCTTCATGAGTTATACATTAACTCATGATTATCTGTGCATTAGTTAAACATGAATTAATGCATATTAGTGCACCCGTATTGTAAAGTGTTACCAACATGACTATATATTTTTACATTTTTTTATTATTATATATTTTTTAAACAGCTATCTGCTCATCCGGCTGTAGTGAGAGATACGGTTATTGTGTGGCCCCTGGTGAGTGCAAGTGCCGCTATGCGTGGCAGGGCCCTCGCTGTGATGAGTGTGTACCCTATCCAGGGTGCATGCATGGCACCTGCAAACAACCCTGGCAGTGCACGTGTGACGAGGGATGGCGTGGCCTGTTGTGTGACAAGGGTCAAAATGTCTAAATTCAGAAATTATGTGTTTTCCTGCTTGTGTTTTCATTTTTGAAATACAAAAAATAATTAAATTCCAATTTTCTTTTTCTGGGACATCAAAAATGATGATGTCCTGTAAACAATAGACAGTGTTTATGGCAAAATATGACATTTATTAAACTGTTTAAAATGATGAGCACCGTTTTAGGTTCCTTTTAGGGCCAGTGTGACATCAAGGAGACATTTCAACAGCAAATGCACTCTATATTACAGAGAGGAGTTACATGTTACCCATCACACCCAAGTTGTATTATGCTATCATGACCCTTGCTGGTAGATGTTGGAAGTACATATTATGGCTGCATAGAGCATCTTTCTCCATTGACAGTCATTAAAATTTAAATATCATTTTTTGCTGGCAACAAAAGGATAGTGAATATTTCATTTAATATATTTATATATAGTATATATTCACTTTTTTAAATAGAAGATGCTTTGCCAGGGACCTTTTTTGAGGGCTCTCAATGGTTAGTTCGTGCAAAATGATTTAATCACCTTCATGCTGTTCCCAACCTGTAAGACTTTCATTGATCTTTAAAAACACAAATGAAGATATTTCAATGAAATTGGAGACCTTTCTGTCCACTTCGACGCTTCAAAAAGTTCATAAAGAGATCATAATTAATCCATATGAATGGAGTGGTTTAGTCAAAATGTTCTTTTTTTAGGCTTTTATTCATATAAATATTCATCAACTCACACATCAGTTATGATAAATGGAATTTCAAGCATGGCTTGACGTGCAAGAACCAATGAGGTTCATTGTCGTGTTACGCAGCACGTTTGAGCTTCAGCAGGAACCAAAATCCATTTAGTTTTAAGGTTTTTTTCAATTCATAACAGTAAGAGTCAATTCTAACAATAATAAATGTGCATAAAACAAGTCTTTTAGAATGCAGCACAATATCTTACAGCAACTATAAGCAAAGGGCAGGTGTAAGATTCCATGGAGGGCGTTAAGCATCCAAGCAAGTGCTTTCAGCAGGCAGGACCACCTGTGGTTTCACCGACCAGCTTTTAGGCATTGTGTTTAGTGAAGGAAAGTGATGCTTTGGTTTAATAGCTCTTGTGCAGCAACCTCGAATGAGTAAAACGCTGACCTCAGCGGAGGATTTGACAGTTTTTATTCGTCATGCAGTGTTTTTGAAAGTGTATCTATAAAAATAAAAATAAATTTCCCATGAAAACTAGCCTGAAAACAGATTTCAGTCACATGAATTATAAGTGACATGTAGGCTATAACTGCAATGTGATATATAGGTTATTTCTTAATCGCCAATGCTAGCAAAGCAAATCTTTTTAATCCCTAATCAATCACAATAATTTATTGCACAATATTACAAAACATCACACACAAAAATAAATGAATGCAATTTTTAAATCAAAATCCAGCAGGTTTTCCTTATATTGGCTTTGGACACACAGTCACCTACAGTTTGTGTTGTAATGAAACGTTTAACCGGATAGATGGGAGAGAGGCAGCTGCTATCCGCATTTACTACTCATCAGCATGCTTAAACCTGTATATAGTCCTCTTATTCATAGAATCTCTGCAGATGAGAGTTTCACTGTTGATCCTAAATTGACCCCAAACCCTGGATAGATTGGCTGAGTGAATATGGTCTGGATTCTGTGGATGAGGGTCATTGTGTCAGAGACTCTATAGAAGGAAAGAATTCCTGCACTGTGATCCACATACACTCCTATTCTAGAAGAGCTGGAGACTACAGGGAGTTTAATTTCTTTCTGATTGTGTCTGAACGCATACCTGGAGCCAGAGCAGGACAATCTCCAGGACTGATCATTAAATCCAAAGACACAATCTTCACCATCTCCCTTCCTGTTGATGCTCTTATATGACACTGCTATTCCCACCCCAGACGTCCCACTCCACTCCACCTCCCAGTAGCAGCGTCCACACACACTCTCTCTACACAACACCTGAGAAAAATCATGAAATCTGTCCGGATGAACAGGGTACGACTGGTCAGCCCCAATAAAAGTAGCAACTCTGTTGCCATCAGAAAGACGGAGGTATTTATGTGCAGTGTTCGAATCCAGTGTGAGCTCACAGGAATCTGATTGAAAAAGAAAATTAATGATATAACAATTTTTATATTTATGTCATTTGTATTGTAGTCACCTGCATTTGTGAAACAACATGTAAGTGTAAACTTAGAACCACAAATTTAAGGATCCACAACCCACCCTAACCCAAGGAATAAAAACTAAAGACAACAAACCAGAAATATTAGAGAACCATAAAAGCAGTGTGAATGAACTAAGACTCATATACTGTCTTAAATACTGACTATAAATAATGAAAAGCAGGAAATTAGATGCCAGCAGACAGATAACTAATAACAAGTTAGAATTCAGGTGATCAGTGATTTATTTTTCTTGAAGATTCATAGAGTTTGCTTTAATAGTAACACTTACATTGCAAGAAGTCATCTCTGGTCCTGAGTTCAGTGGCAGTAACAAGTTCAATGTATGTCACAACTGAAACCAACAGACATATACAGTGTAATTCACAAGCTATTTTCTTAATTGGTGAATGATTAAAAAAAAATGTAAGTAAATGAATATCCAGTACTTTACCTTTACCAAATATATTTTCTGTTGCTTCTTTGCAGACGTATTCAAGTTTTCCTCTTAGCATAGAGACAGATAGAGAAAAGTCATCATAAGAGAGGAGAGAACTGACATTACTGCTGTCTGTGGATACAGGAGGAACAGAGAGAGACTGGAAACTCTACAAAGACAAACAAAAGAACAGATTTTAATAATCAATGGGTCTCATGCACTAATGCGTACACAATGTATTTGTGTGCAAAATCTGTCTCCGCATGCTTTCATGCAGAAATCATATCTAACCAATAAAATTGCACAAAAAAAAAAGTCTGAATTTCTGAGAGTGCATGAATAAAGGGCAGTGCAAGCAAACAGGACAGGGTGAGCTTGATTTTTTTTTTCCCAAACCAGTTATGCGCAAGTTAACCACAAGTTATCCAAAGCCGTTTAAGCGCAATTTAATACTGAAAACATATCTGTCAAGTTAATCGCAGGCATTTCATTGGTTACCTCAATCACACAGTCACCTAAAAAATGTTGGACTTTGTGGATTAAGTTTAGAGTTCAGAAAAAATCATGGATGGATCAGATTGACAAACATTAATGCCGTCTATCAGGTTGTGGTACCTACTCTATTATGGTTAGAGTTAAGGTTAGGTTTGCATTTCTTTCAGAGTTGTGCAATCAATCAGCACTGTGATTGACAGAGATGAGTCTGTCTGCTTTTCTGTTCACTGATCATTATATATTGATCATTACATACATACACAGACGTAACTCAGCATGTCCTGATTCATGGCACAATTACTGTCAGAATAACAACGGATAATTCCACGTCTGTTAAAGCACTTAAAGGGTTCCTATTATGCTTTTTCACTTTTTCAACTTTAGTTAGTGTGTAATTTTGCTGTTTGAGCATAAAAAAGATGAGCAAGGTTACAAAGCTCAAAGTCCTCTCCAAAGGGAGATATTCTATTTAACAGAATCCACTATCCAAGACCTACAATGAACGGCCCGTTTGGACTACAACACGTTTTTTTTTTTCCGGGCTTTGTGAAGTCATAATGTTCCTCATTTAAATAATTTCCACCCACGGAATACGCAAAAAAAGGGGACGAGGCCTGGTTGAGCTGCATTAGAGAAGACAGTGTTGTGGCTGTCCACCCTGTTTCCAAAACTCATTTGTTTGACCTTCCTAAGGCTGACGAATGTGTGCTGCACATTTTATGGAGAACAGCTTCCAGAATCACAATGCAGGCTGTAGCTTTTTGCTGTAGCTTTTGCAAGGCTGTTCACAGCCCCTTTAGGAAAATTAACATTGGTTTTGTGATCGATTACTGTTTGTATTACCATAGTTTCCGACAAATATGATTAAATGGTGTATAAAATAGTATCTAAACTATATGAAACAATTGCACAAAGACAAACATCCTGTGAAATCCGTGCTTGCAAAGTCCGTGCAAGAAATCCGTTCTGGACGATCCACTTGTTTGTTAACATTCTAGTCTGAATCAGGCTTGAATTGATTTGAAACATGGGACACACGTGGGACATTTCCCGAACATGCGCTAGGCAGTGCCAACACTGGGCCAGCTAACCAATCACAGCACATTTCTTATTTCTGAAGGAGGGGCTTCATCGAAACCTGAAATAAAAGATGCGTTCGCACCAGACTGGGGAAAGAGGTGAAGTAATAATGTCAATGTAAAAATCTAGTACACCCCAAAAACAAAATCAATACTTCACAAAAGGGCATAATAGGATCCATTTTAAACAATGGTTCTTTAAAAAAAAAAAGTAAACTTAAAGTGCTAGAAACATAACTTTTTTATATATATATCTATTGTTTTTATAGAGGAGCATACGGTTCTTGAAACAAAATGAATTGAGGTTACTTCATATAATACTTACATTTATTGTATAATTACAGGAAAAATAATAGAGGAACTATATTAAGCAATGTAATGGGGATTTAAATAGTTTTGTTTAATATGTTGGACAATGGGACGGGAGGGGGGCTGTGGTCAAAAAGACTGAGAAAAAAAAAAGAGTTTGAGATGAGAAAAGATTAAAAAGTGCTCAGTTTTATTTTTTAGAAACTCTTTACTGTAATAAGATCATCTTAAATGTACTGCTTCTGAGATCTGTTACCTGAAGGAAATGTATGTGATCATCAGTGTGTGAAAGCTGCTTCAGCTCAGCTTCTCTCCTCCTCAGATCATCAATCTCCTGCTCCAGTCGCTTCAAGAGTCCTTCAGCTCGACTCACTTGTGCTTTTTCCTGGTCTCTGATCATCCGTGTCACCTCAGATTGGCTTTTCTTAATGGACCGGATCAGTTCAGTAAAAATCCTTTCACTATCCTGCACTGCAGCCTGTGCAGAGCGCTGTTAGGACACAGACAAGCAGACCTTTCACTCATGGGCTTCAGTGTGGGACTGGACTCCTCAATGACTAGAGTCCTTAAAGAACCTAAAACGTGTCCGACTCCCCTTAAACTTACCTTATGAGTCTTCACAGTCTCTTTCAGCTCCTGAAGCTTTTTCTCTCCCTTCTGGATTCTCTGCTGAGTCTTTCTTTGTATGTCCCACAGCTGTTTCTGTAAGAGTAACAGATAACAGCTCTTACTATATTGCATCATAAACGTGTATTTTACTAAGATTTGCTTTTCATACCTGTTTCTCAGATCTCTCTGCTTCAGCCGAAACAGTATCGTGATTTGTGTGTTTGTCCATCGTACATAGCAAACAAATACAATGCTGGTCAGTACGACAGTAAACCTCCATCAGTCTGTCGTGTTGAGAGCAGATCATCTCCTGCAGTCGTCCAGTGGCATCAGTCACTTTGTGTCGTCTACTACCGGAGTGAAATTCCTCATGTCGCTCAAAATGAGTTTGACAGTATGATTCCAGACACACTAGACAGGACTTGACAGCTTTATATTTCCTTCCAGTGCAGATGTCACACTCCACATCTCCAGGTTCAGCATAACTGAGAGGAGGACGAGCTGTTTGGACTTTTGTCTTCATCAGTGTTTCCACCATTTCAGCAAACACCACATTCTTGTTTAAAACAGGTCTTGGAGTGAAGGTCTTTCTACACTGAGGGCAGCTGTAAACTCTCTTCTGATCATCTTTATTCCAGCAGTCTGTAATGCAGCTCATACAGTAACTGTGTCCACAGGGGATCGTCACTGGATCCTTCAGTAGATCCAAACAGATTGAACAGCTGAACTGGTCCCACAAAACACTGGCTTCTGCCATTTTACTGCACGTCGTCCACACAGACAGAGAGAAAAATACATGTAATCAGTACTTGAGCTGAAAAAGGTGTGTTTTAAAGATAGGACTCAACTCTAGAATTACAACTCCAGTTACAGCTTCTTCGCACAGAGAGATCATTTCTTACCTAATAGTTCGTCAGCTTTTACCCTGATTCGAAGATCTACAATCTGGAACGTTGTAACTACAGACGACCCTATAACTTACAGTGAAGACAATGGTCTACCAGAGAGAGAGAGAGAGAGAGAGAGAGAGAGAGAGAGAGAGAAATCAGGTTTCATTTTTCCGAGGAGTTTCCTGGTTCCGTGTTTGAGAAACTGTCTGAAACAAGCAGTTAGTGTAAATAAGAAGTTAAAATCGACCGTTAGAGGGCGTTAATACACTACATTTTCATTGACTGTGTTGTGCCAGCTCTGTCTCTCTGTAGTAGGTTTAACATGTTACGTTAAAACCACTAAATTAGTCAACCAAGATAATAGTAAATCTCATACACATTATGTCCATACATACTCCATAGTGAAATATTGTTCCCAGAAGTTTTTTAGGCGGGGTATGCATTGACGTCATTTTTTACCAGAAAATCTTCCGGAAACCGCCCCCTCAGCCGGACTGAGTGGCAAAAGAGGCTGCTGTGACTGGATAGAGGAAACTGCGAAAACGCGAGTAAAACAAACGATTATCAGTTTAAACCAGGGGTGTCCAAACTCGGTCCTGGAGGGCCACTGTCCTGCAGAGTTTAGTTTCAACTTGTCTCAACACACCTGCTTGTAAGTTTTTAGCATGCCTAATGACCTTCAACAGCTAATCAAGACATTGATTAGCTGTTTCAGGTGCGTTTAATTGGAGTTGGAGCTAAACTCTGCAGGACAGTCAACAGTGGCTTGTTGTTATTACGTCATTGGTCACATGACAAAGTCACCATTGCGGATGATGTCCGCATTATGATCCCACTACACGCATTCAGTAGGCTACTTACCCTTTTAACGCTCGCTAATGCAGAGTTCAGACTGCACGATTTTAGCCCCGATTTTGGCTCGCCGACAGGTTTTGAGAAATCGCCGACAAATGCCCGAAATCACAGGCAAATCGGTGCTCGTTCACGCGAGTGACAATCACGCAGTGTGAATGAGCAAAGACGTGATCTGAGAGAATCACCGACGAGTCGCCGACGCCCGTGAGATATTTGGCATGCTAAATATCTGGACCTGTCGGCGATTCAAAATCCTGCTGTGTGAATGTGTTCTGACTGAAAACTACATCGGCGATGACCGACAGCCAATGAGAGAGCAAGATACAGGACAGCAGGCTGTTCGGGGAGGAGTTATAGACCAGAATATCAGTATTTTAATAGATAGCCCTTTACAATTATATCAAACAGAAACAAAGCACAAACATTTGCATGACCAGCAGCAACAGCAGGACATTTGCTAAATTATTTATTTACCCCCAACTCTCTTTGCACAGTCCTTGCTCCCCTCGTCTTCCCAACCATTTCCTCCTGCATAAACTGTTTATTTTTCTCATTTTCGCTACAAATCAGCGCACATACAGTTTGGATCGCAATCTTCTTGTAGGCTATCATTTTTAATAACAAATTAAGTGTCGCGCGAGAACTCCGGTCTCACGCATGCGTGATCTTCCGTTATTTCCTTATCACTTCTCGCGTTTGTTTGGTTGTGAAACGTAGTTTGCGGACCAGGCAGAAGTTGTCGGCGATTCTTTCTTTTGTAAAGTCATGCAGTGTGAAACCTCCTGTCGCCGATCCATCGTGCAGTGTGAACACAGCAGCAACTGAATGTTACCCCAGATAGTCATGCAGTGTGAAAACAACAGTGACCCGATTATTTTGAAAATCGTGCAGTCTGAACTCGGCATAAGTAAGTAGGCTACTTATTTAAATGACCTACTCAATGAGAATGCGGTTTCGAATTCAGCCAATGTCAGTAGGCTACTTTCCGAATTACACGCAGGATGTCATTTCGGCTGGCATGATCAAATGGCACTGGACTCACAGGAACATTCAGTAACGACCAGAGCTCCATTTCCACTTGAGCAATAACCACCATAACTGCCCTATTACTTAAAGTGGCTGGCGAGTAGCTCAAAATGAGTGAACATTGGAAAATATTAATATAACATGTATGCTACATACATCCTAATGGTGTAATTATGCTATCATGACCCCTGCTGGCAGATATGGGGACTACACCTTCTGTCTTCAGAGAGCATCTTTCTCCATTGACGGTCATTCTAAAAATATGTAAATTAATTAATAAAATAAATAAAAATATTTGTAGACAACGTATGGATTGTGGATATTTTATTTAATATATGACAATACAAGTGGTGGTGGTTAAGGAGAGATCCCCTGATATGATTGTAAAGCGCTTTGGGTAAGCTCTATTTAAAAACGCTATAAATGTCTCATTCACAAGATGCTTTGCCAGTGACATTTTTTGAGGGCTCTCAAGGTGACCTATAACCTTTCATACAAAAATGAAAATTCTGTCATCATTTACTTACCTTCATGCTGTTCCAAACTCGTAAGACTTTAGTTCGAAACACAAATGAAGATATTTGAATGAAATCTGAGACATTTCTATCCCTGTAAAACTTCATTGTTTTAAGTCCAAATTTTCTGAAGAGACTCGATCGCTTTATATGATGAATAGATTGAATTTAGACTTATTTATACATATGAATATTCATCAACTCACACATAAGTGGTAAACGGAAGCTCATGCTTTTGTATGAGAAACCAAACAAAACAAGAGGACTATAGACTACACACACGACAGAACAGGATAAATTAACAATACACATGCATGTGACAAGCATTGAGGACCACAGAAACTAAACTTCAGATGATAAATGTGATTTTAAACAACAAAAAGACACATGAAGTTAAATATTCAGAAAGAAAAGACAACAAAAACAACTGTGACTAAAGCTTTTGAGCACACACACTATACATAAAAATGAACCTTATAATATGTAGCATAACATTTTAAGGTTTAAAAATATATGTATATAAAGAATTAAGGAAAATTAAATAATCACCACACAAGAACACACCACACCACACACACTCTTGAGCAAATCCATTTTGTTTTATTAAGGTTTTTTTTCCAATTCATAACAGTAAGAGTCAATTCTAACAATAATAAATGTGCATAAAACAAGTCTTTTAGAATGCAGCACAATATCTTACAGCAACTATAAGCAAAGGGCAGGTGTAAGATTCCATGGAGGGCGTTAAGCATCCAAGCAAGTGCTTTCAGCAGGCAGGACCACCTGTGGTTTCACCGACCAGCTTTTAGGCATTGTGTTTAGTGAAGGAAAGTGATGCTTTGGTTTAATAGCTCTTGTGCAGCAACCTCGAATGAGTAAAACGCTGACCTCAGCGGAGGATTTGACAGTTACATTCATTTTGTTTCGTTTTTTTTTTCCGTTGTGTGGTTGGTGTCCTTTCCCTGCTGAAGGCACGTTACAAATAACAAAGCAACTCTTGTGTTGTCGTGTGTTAAGTGGACGTCTTTTGCTAGCATCTAGAGTCGGTTTGAAGGCCTTTTTTTATAATTGTACTGTTCTTACGGTTATACTCAGATGGATTACCGGTGAACGCGCCTCAATTCAGGCTCAGATATCGATCGAGATACTTGATTTACACTATGCTGTGGCGATGATAGTTACGGTACTGTAAGAAATTAACTTATCTACGTACTTATCTATTATGAGAGTTTTACTGTTAATTTTTATTCTTCATGCAGTTATTCATGTCCATCATATGACAAATACTGTGTTTTTGAAGGTGTATCTATTTGTAATATTTGTAAAAAACTGAATTTCCCACAGTGGAAATCATGACGAGGCGGAGTGTAGCCTACTGCCAATTCAGACTCTCGGTACGTGTCGGTGCTGTGCAGGCAACGCGGAGCTTGATTTTTTTATTTACTGAACGTGATGGCCGGAAATGATAATAAAAGAGCTGTGCCATATTTCTGCAAGCATCATTTGTTAGCTGGACTATTATACTAGTTCTTAAATTATCCTAAGAAAATTTCTCATAGTTATAGAATCTTTTATTATTCAAAATAAGATCTCAATATTATACATGTTCCTTTTCTTTTCTTTATATTGACTATGTACAGAAGTGCAAAAAGTCAACCTTCGTCCCTTAAGTTATGGCTCTCTCTCGTTTGCAGCTCGAGGCCCGACCCCTTGACCTCCCTCCTTTGTTTTTCATCTTTAAATAATCAGAAATCTCTGATGCTGCTTGTTTTGGCCTAGCATTGAGGGATGTTTTTTTCTTTTTGTTGAAATATTACAATACGATTTTTCAATTCTGAAATGCATACAGTAGAAAATAACTTCTTTTACTCTATCACGTACAATTGATACGTCAACCAGCTAATTGTAGACGTGGTCTTGATTTGACACGAATTAAAGGGTTAAAATATCAACCTTACCAAAGCTACAAATAAACTCTTTCTTTGTCGTTTTTCACTCTCTTTTAAGACAAGATAAAACATTTTGTTCAACAAATTCAAAACCAAAATCCTTAGAGCTGAAATTTCTAAAATTCTACCATGAAAACTACCATGAAGAATTAAGAATACAACACTACTAGCTAAACATTATGAACTTAAAATGATGTAAAAGAAAGTGACAGTAAGAAAAACAATATTTCATTTCCTACATTCTAAAACAGTTCTATGACAATATTGTCGAATACAAAAAAACAAAAAAAACAAAAAATCTTTATAGTATGCCAACAATAACACAATATATTTCTAACAAAGGCTTTGAACAGAGTGAACGTTAAGTGTAACATGATTAATAAACACGTAAAATAAGAGTGAAGAATAAAATCTCATCCGCTGTCATTTTTTCATTTGTGATTGAGAGAATGTTTGTGTGGGTTCAAACACTGAATAAGGCTTTAGTGAGGAAACGGAGATGGCGTGCATCCTTTCAAGTCTGTGCACCTAAACCAGGCTGAAATCCAGACTCAAGAAAACGTGAGTTTCCAGCCAGATGAGCCGAGAACCTCGCGTTCATTAGTTTAATCTTGAGTCTGGTTGTGGCGCAAAAACTCTTGTTTCCTGGTTTACAAGCAGCCTTGTACGTAAAATGAAGCTATACAAATTATTCACCTTCCGTAATCAGTATACCCAGTCAAAACACGTTTAAATAAAACAAAAAAAGAACGACTTTGGCACAACTTAATGTTAAAAACGTCTCATTATATATTTTCCATTCCTCTTTTCCGCTGTACGGCGGCAAAACGACGTTGTTTAGAAGTCATGAGCTATTCGAAAACAAATGGAAATCAACACAAATGAGAACTGAAGACAAACCCTGACCCAACACTAACCTCATCTTTCCGCGTACCTAGTCTCGAACCCACAATCTGTAACGAAATACTCAAGCAGTGCTTTTCCAGCATGAATTTTAGAGTCCTCACAAAGACTGGAACGCAAGCGCTCTTGACGACGACCTCCTAAAGACACGCGGTGACTCTCGATGCCTTCTCCGTTCCATCGCGACATTCTCTCGATCAAGGCAATTTAAAGAAACAGGGCATTAGGAACAAGGCAACCCTGTTCTCATAGGAGTCAAAAAGGCTTCTTAGTTCTACAAGGCCTAATGGATGATCGACAAATAAAAATGGCACGTTTCATAAAAAACCCACACTTGTGAAATTATGTATAAAAACAAGCGCTGTAAAAAACATTAATCTCTGGTAAACATAATAACACTGTTGATATAACACTCTAGATCTGTGTCTGGTATTCAGCCGGTGGTTATGGTACATAAAGCTTGCAAGAATGTGCTTTTGAAAGGTCTCAGGTGATCAGTTTCTACCCAAAACATTCATCTGTCAATCTCGACTCTCGCTTACAATCTAGTTTGACTAGAAGCCAGAACTAAAGATACAGAAAACTACAAACATTTAATTATTTCGCTGGAGGTTTTTGTGCCATGTCGACTTTTTGATTCGCTTTTCAATTCAAGGCGCACCTTTTGCAACCTTTGTAAACCATCAGACAAATTTCGAGGAAAGATAATCAAGGTGTGAATCACAAAAAAATATCTCTTGGTCTACTAACATGCCAAAACGGTGTTAGGTCAGACATGAAAATAACTTTTCCTACTAATCCGGCTTGAGAGTAAAAATGCCGTCCTGTCTGACATAATGATGTAGTTTCACTCAAATTCTACATATCGTGTGGAAGGACACTCAGTTTCACTCTAGTAAAACTCTACCATCATGTATGACCAAATTCTAATCTTCATAGTATATTCTATCCGCCGGTGATCTTGATGTTAAAATTTTGAATTCTGTTTGTTTGCCTTTTTGTCCAGGACAACAGCACATTCCTTTGATCTGAGGAAAAGTAGAAAATAGATTTAGAACACACGAGAATGAGTATTAAAGCACTTGTTTGACCACCATGAATGACCATTCTGTCATTATTTACATAATTAATTTTTTTTGAAGAAGTTCTTTCCATACAATGACAGTTAAAGAGGCCATATTGTGCCCTTTTACAAAGGTTTTGTTTTTAAGGTCTACTAGAATAGGATTCCATGCTTAAATGTTTAAAAAAAACACATTCTTTTTCACATTTTACATTATTGCAGCACCTCTCTTCCCAGTCTGCCAGTAACACTCTATTTAGTTCCTGTCTCTATGAAGCCCCTCCTTGCGAAAAGCGCAATGTGCTCTGATTGGTCGGCTGGATCAGTGTGTTGTGATTGGTCAACCGTTTCGAGCATGTTAGGGAAATGTCACGCCGCTTACCATAATCACAAGTCCTTTGCGTATGCCCTTGGGGGGATTATTTAAATGAGGAATATTGTGACGTGTTCATTCCCGGAAGAAAACTTTCATGGAAGTTTCAGGGAGTTCAGAAACAGTGCTTAGTGATATAGAGGATAACTCCCTTTGGAGTGACTTTGTGCTTTGTAACTTTGCAGACCTTTTCCATGCTCAAACAGCAACATTACATACTAAAGAAAGTTGATAATGTAAAAATAATAATAATAATAATAGGTCCTTAAAAAAAAGCAACATAAAAGTAATTCATGTAACTTGATCATTGTATTCCAAGTGTTCTGAGTGCCTTGTGTAATGAACAGCCTGAAATGTTTTTCTTTTTATATTTCCCATACATATCCCCCCAGAAAAGCACCATAAAAGTGCTCCATATGGCTGAAATATGCGTCACAGGTGCCATGTTTTTTTGGTCATATTTGGTCATGTGATTACTAGGAACTGTAGTTGTACGGAAAATAACTTCTTCAGAATTTTTATTGAGAGTAAATATTGACCAAAATTGGGGAGCTTTTGCTTCAAATCAAACATTTAAATTTTAATTTTAATGTCAGGTAGCAATCCAGCAGTTTCTGGAAACAATGAAAAATAGAAGAGGAATGTGTGAGCACTCACTGTTGAGGACTGGAACTACATCTGCGTCAAGTACTTGTGACTAGTCAGATGCTCTGCAGATATTATTGGAATCTGAAGGTGTACAGAGAGAAATGCATTAAACGATTCAGTGTGACCTTTATTCATTTTTTTGTGCAAAAAAATAAAAAAACATTTCAAAGACTAAAATATTCTCCCTCACCCTCACTCCCTCCCCATCACAGTTAAGAAGAGAATACGTCAAACACAACACACAACAAAAATTAAGAAATGCCATTAAAGAAACCGATGAACCATTGCTTATTAGTATAAATCTTTATCACGTGAGGCAGGGAGAAGTCAGCGATTTCCCATGCATATTCCATATTTCCAACTTGTTGACCTTCACTTTTATTTCAATAGTTGAAGGTATTTGAAATAGTCTATAATAATATTTCAAACTAAGAAGAACCTTGGCAAAATTGTCATGTTTGTAAATCATATCATTTAGAATGTTTTTATAATGTCAAGGCGGCCTGCATCGCTGCTTTGTATTGATCATATAAGCAGGATTTAAGCTAGTGGAAACTCTTTTCTGTATATTGACCAGCAAAACAACAAAATGAAGCAGGAAACAATGCACTAATTTATCCTTCACAGCCGGCAAAGATGTACCCGAAGCAAAGCACTAAGAAAAACTACCTCATACATACCAATTGCATGTATTCGTTGGTAGTCAGCTTTGATAGAGAAGAGTCCTCAAAATAAAAAAAGGACAAAAACAAACAATATTAAAATGCTATTTATAACCATCAAATATGACATGAAATGGTACTGTAACGGTGCTTTAATTGAAAATTAAATTCTTGTTCGAGCTTCAATTACATTTAACATCATTTTCACAGCGCTCAGGCAAATTCAGACTAATTTTACTGTAGTTTGTGTGTAAACCCTGTACTTCAAACAACTCAATTTACTAGTGCTCAAATGTTTTTTAACACATTCCCTTGGTTTTCCCTCAGCCAGTGTCTGCAGTGAGAAAATTACAGGTAAAAAAAAAAAAAATGTCATTGTGAATCTGTTGTTTAAAGCATCATAAAATGTTTACGCCTTATCAAAAACCTGTGTAGGCCAACAAGGGGCAGAGGACCCCCGTCCCACAGACAGAAAGAGAAAGATAGAGAGTGTGTATATGTGTGTGTGTGAGAGGTTGAGAGAGAAAAAAGCCATAAAAGAGCAAACCTGATTGGCTGATGCAGATGCGAAGGGAACACTTGTGGCAGATGTGGTTGCTGCGGACACAGCGGCCGGGGAAGCGCCGTGCATCATGGGAACTTTTCAGAGGGAAAATGGTATAAGCACACGTACAGGGAGTGTGGCCAACAGGTGCACAAACATGATGAGTGAGTGGACACAGAGGGGTATGGAAAGAAAAGTGAGCATTGAAGGTGATATCAGCAAACGGCAAACCAAAAGTGGTGGCAAGAGAGATTGTTCTAAAGAAGACATAAGGGCAGGTAAAGTGTCATATGAGCCAACACATCAAGAGCTACAAGAAGAAGGAAACAAAGGCATGGCATCTCATAAACTTTGCATTTAGGTTTCAGCTTCCATCTACTATAGTACGTTAACATTTAACCCTTGTCATGTTTTCTGTTACTTGAACATCATGCTCAACACTGATTATCTGAGCTACACACAAGTGCAGTGAAAAATACTATCAACTACAAAGTGTTCCAATTAAATGTGAGGAGTTAAAAGGATAGTTCACCCAAAAATGAGTCTTCTGGCATTATTTATTCACCCCCAATTCATTCCAAACCAATATGCTATTGTTGTTGCTGTTTTTTGTGAGTGGAATACCTAAAGAGAAACTTTGCCATCCGGTGGAATTTTGGGTTGTTATTTTTTAAAGTGCCTGTATTATACTATTGTAAAGGTTCCTAATTTTGTTTTGGAGGTCTCCTACAATAGGTTGAATGGATCCAAGGTCAAAAAATACTTTATTTTTCTCCTAATATACATTGCACAAACTCCTCCTCTCCTTTTCCTAACTCTGCTCTGATTGGTCAGATGGCCCAGTCTGTTGTGATTGGTCTACCGCTTACAGTGTGTGTCGGAAGCGAAACACACTATAACCATATCTACATTTCAACTCCGGACGCTTCCTCAGCACTTGTGTACACAAATAGTAACAATGGCGTGAGTTTTACCATATCAATTCCTCATCTGTTGGAAGTGCAAGTGGATTCGCAGCACAGAAAACAGCATATTCTCGACAGCCAATGAAGACCATGGGCTGGCATTATGCAAATTTGGATGGGATTACTTTTACAAGGTAAGATGGGGTAATGTTATTTGGTAACACTTTACTTGAAGGGGTCTGCATAAGACTAACATGACACCTTCGTAATCATGACATGACACATGTTATGAATATGAAGGAAGTTTTATGCATGTTTGTGACAACTGTCATTAAGTGTCATTCGCTCAATTATGACATTTTTAATGCAAATATGACATTGTTTGAGATGTCTTTGTTATGACACCTTGACATAAACCAATACATCATAACCTGTCAGTGTCTTTGTCATGACAACTTGACATTACTAAGACAACACAACCCGTCATAAACATGACATAGCAGATTAATTATCAAACTTAAGAAACCACTTAGCTTTATTGGTTAACATTACATTAAACTGTCAGGTGGTTGGTGTTAACATTTGCTGTCATGAAGCCATTATAACTGTTTAATGACAAATTCAATTTGTACCACTGTAGTTGAGGTCACGAAAAATATTCATGACACAGTTATAATGGCCTTATGACAGCCAATGTCAAAACCAACCACATGACAGTTTAACTTAATTTAATGTCAAGTTGTCATGACAAAGACACTGACAGGTTATGATGTTATGGTTTATGTCAAGGTGTCATAACAAATACATCTTAAACAATGTCATATTTGCATTCAAAATGTCATTATTGAGCGAAAGACACTTAATGACAGTTGTCATAAACATGCATAAACCCTACTTCATATTCATGACATATGTCATGTCATGGTTATGAAGGGATCATGTCAGTCTTATGTACACCCCTTCAAGTAAAGTGTTACCGGTTAGGGTACTAAAGGACGTCTGTAATATTAATGGCCAATTCGCACGGGATAAGAAATCTCAGTAACTAGCAGAAGTAGATAACTTGATTTACACACCGCTGTCACCTCCCTGTCGTCATGTGTGTATTATGTTGCTTCCTGATATCACATGCGCAAACACATATAACCTATATAATATATATATATATATATATATATATATATATATATATATATATATATATCCTATATATAACAGTTAGATCCGGTCAAACGATTTATCAATTAAATGAATTAAATTCTGATTGGATTATGTTGGTAATAGGCACTTAGCTAAAGCTAAAAGAAGTGTGGTGCCTCTGACTTTCAGAAGTGCTTTCGACCTTCTTTTTGATATGAATGGTATGTGGAAAACACTTGAGTTTTGCCACAGACTTGTCCCACCGTCTAGAACGCAACTGAATGCTTTTTCAAGCGCCTCCATACTTGAAAAACATACTTTGATAAATCCATACTTTGTTGTGCACTTTGATGTTTAAAACTTTGCAGGCCGTTTCTATTGACAAACAGCTGTATTACACACTGCATGAAAGGTAATATTAGAAAGAGCATAATAGGGGCACTTTAAAAATCACTCAGATTTCATTCTTCATTCAGCCCATTTGAACATGCATGGTAAGATTATTCAAAATTTCTCCTTTTGTCTTCCATGAGGGTGAATGAATAATGACAGAAATTTCTGTTTTAGGTGAATTATCTATTATTAAAAAAGCCACCAAAACCCACAAAACAATACACAAATTGCTAGAATTGCAACTCACAGTACAAGAAAAAATATTTGTGTATATTTCAAGTCAACATGAAATCAAAATGCTTCCCATTTACTTTCTTAATATGCATGATGCATACTTTTCAAGATTATTTTTCAGCCGCCCCCTCCAATTCCCTATTCTAATGTCTAAAAGCCACTTTTCACAATCGAATGCAATTCCTGATGGATAAAATCAATTTCTGCCACTATATATCTTCTTGAATATTCCGTTTCACTTGGAAATATGTCATATTATGGAAGTAAAATGTGTAGCAAATGCCGTTTCATGTTGACTTTTACTTCAAATCACAGATATACAAATGCTTCATATGTGAAGCACTAACAAAGATGCCCAGTTATCAATGCCAGTTTGTCGGCCATGTGGATTTTGAGGGCGTTACAACAACTAAGAGGACGAAGTCTAGAAACCTACCCACGCTTGCTGCAGGGGTCATGCACAATATTGAGCCTGCCCATCATGCATTGCAACAGGAAGTGGATTGGAAAGGGAGAAGAATCACAACAGCCCATCACAAGGTTGGTTAGAGTGAAGAAATCATAATTAAAGGAAGACAATAATCATTACAGTGATACAGCATGATGTCCATAAGAGACCGATTAGTTGACAAAACCATGAACTCAGGAAGGGACAATGTGTATTTGTGAGCTCACAGAAACATGTGTATTTGTGGCAATCATCATAGCAGACATTAGTATGACAGGGGCATTACAGGTTATTGGCAACTGTGTTTCTCAGTGAAAGCCATGAACCCAACTACAAGTATGTACCAGAGTAGTAACGTGATACAATGATGAGGTGATACAGAGAAACTAGTTTACTGTGCGCATATTGCAAGGTTCCCACACCTTCTGACCAAATGGTTTTTCCTAACTTTTCCAGGAGTTTGATATTACTGGATAAGGATTTTTAGAAATCATTTTTAAGGAGAGACTTGCACCAGGTGTAAACAGCGCTGCATGCCAGCGCTTTGATGGAACCAGACTACATTTTTTAAATATTTATAAGTATAGTAATAATGTAATATATTATAATAATAATATATATATATATATATATAGTATACTTATCGTATACTTTTGATAAATATAGTATAACATGATAGTATGGTATAATTTATTGTAAAAATACAAATATTATAATAAAGTATGAATATTTTGTATATATTTGTATATAGACTGTGTATACAAATGTCTACACTATGTCACCTTTTTCACCTTTGTTCCCATTGGCTTGGCTTGCTTAGTTGGGGACATTAAATTTAACATTTAATTTAATATTCAACAATAATATTGATCTGCCTGCATTGACACTATTATACAAGAACTAAACTGAGCTAGACGATGACATCATGGTTTACTCCGGAGCGGCTATATATATATTATATAAATGAACTAAATGAATAACTTTTTTAAAACAAAAATGAAACATCACTGAACTTACTTAAACTGGACTGTGAAGCTAATTATACTATATATATATATATATATACTTTGTTATTTACTATATTATAGTTATATTATTATAATAAATATTATATTACATTAAAATATTGTCCTAAGTATATATGACATAACTATGACAATACTATTTATTATACATTTATATTATTAATGATCAAATATTGATTATATTTTACTGTAGTATGTTACTAAATAAAATGCAAATATTCTATGTTAGTATTTACACCAGAGTGCAAGAAATTTCCCTGATGTTCACTCTTTTTAATGGCTGTGGGAACCCTGTCTCTGTATAAAAAAAAGAAAAAAAAAGTTATCCCATGTCTTTGTGCATCCCTCGTGGTTTAGTAAGGTCGAAGGTGAGGTCAAGGGGTGGTCAGGGGTGACAGGAAGTCCTACCTGACGGAATAAATTGCTGCTGAAACTGCATGTTGGCCAAAGCCTGCTGGTACTGGAGCATGCCAGTACTGAACATGCCCGCGGCACCGTTGGCTTTCTCAAGCGCAGGCCGCTTTGGTAAAGGTGGCATGACACTGTGAGGAATTCCCTGCTCCGATAAGACCACAGGGAAAGGGGAGTGGAGGAAATGGGGAACAGGTTGGGACGTGTAGAAGAGAGTAAAAACAGGAAAGGAACAAGAAAAAGACAGAATTATCATCAGAGGGCAAACACATCACAGGGCTTGATTCTGACAAACAAGCAAGCAAGCGGCAGCTAATACATTTCTACGGCACAAGCAAAAGCCAAAGAGCCAGTTTCTCTCGCTATTACTTAAATTAGCTCTGAGCATCTGTGATATACATTATTAGTTTTACATCAGGAGAATATTAATTCATTAACACTACAACATCCATACGGCTAACTCAATGCAAATGAAGCAAGCGTAGCACTACTCAAATGTTTTGCAGACAAAAGTGACGAAAAAAAGAAAAATAAAAGAAACAGAAAAATAAAAGAAAAATAAACTGCACTGCTCACTCCATGATAAGTGTGAGAAAGAGACTAGATCTTTTCTGTTGCTTTGGTGGTGGAGCTTTAGTATTCTTCTGCTGCTACCCCTCCCAAAGACACATGCACTATACAGAGATACTAAACATGCACCCTATCAAGACACTGAGCTTAAATGCTGTATAGACATATAGAAGCCATGTGACTAGAGTTTAGAACATCTGGCCCTGTCCTCACGCCCTGGAATAACACACATGTGTGATGATCTGATTGCGGCAGACTAGCATATCTTGTTTCTGGTCAAAGCCGAGCATATGCTCGCCGCAGTCAGTTGATCACACGACATGGTAACATAGAACACAACAGAGGCATTAAATAAACACATAACAAAAGGACTATGCTTGCAAATTATCTTTCCTTTTTCTGGTTAAGACACTACAATAAAGCAACATGCCAAGCAAAAAGGTGAAAGGTCATAGTACCAGGTCAAAGGTGGCTTCGAGGGGTCGCTTCAGTGATTTGACAGCCGACTGAGTCTTAATTAGCAGGCAGCGAGCACATGATGGCAATGGGCCAATGGGGTTCAAGCGCATTAACATAAACAGCAAGCAGAGGTGCATCATGGGGGCAGCAGTGCATTTTGGGTAGGTGAGAAAAAAAACAAATAAAAACAAATCATTGGAATGCAGTATACAGGGGGATATCAGGACTAAGGCATGCAGAAATACAGTCCATTCTGTTTTTAGGAAACTCTGTACTGAGATCAAGATTAACAAGTACATCGATTATCGTAACATTTACAGGGTTTCATTGACAATAAACAGTTGTGCAATACGTCAACAACAGTGGATAACATTGAGCTGGATTGCAAACATACATTTAATGTGCAGAAATGATTACATAAAAATAATTATGACACTGCTCTCTGCTCGACAGGATGTTGGAATTACGTATTTATGCAGTTTAAATGGGAATGGCAATGACTTGAGGTATAGAGCTCTGTCAAAAATATAATTTTGCACAAGAAACATTCCTAAAATGCTCATAAATCCTTATTTAAAGACTCCTGATTTTTTTACAGTGTCAATGTTAACCCGAGATCAAATATATAGCATCTGAGAAAGTGTTGATTGTATATACAGTATGATGAGTGGGATACAGTGAGTGTGCTGTACAGTAGAGAGCGTGCTCACCATGGCGGCGGCGGCCGTGGCCTGATTGACCTGGTGTTGGGCTGCTTTGATCTTGGCCTGCAGATGTGCAGGAGGATGGAAGTATTTGCACTTGTCTCTGGAGCAGCGGCCCTTTATGTAATCCATACACACCGTCACCGTGTTGTCACTGGGGTCGATCATTGTGCTGTCGGAAGGGTGGGCAAACCTGCAGTCCGTCTCCCCACGAGAGCAGTTGCCGCGCTGGTATTCACGACACACCTGAGAATACACACAAACATGATGTATTCACCGTTTGCATATCTCTGAGAGATCTCATATTTTGTGTTAGTGTAAAAAAGTTTTGCTAGTATGTGCACTAATAGTTTCATTAATGAAGAAACCCTGTAATCTTACATTTCATTTAATTATGTTCAACATGGAATGCTACTATTGAAACAAAATAGTATGCATACAGTGTGTGCATAATATGTGAACTTTCTGTATGCGTGGAATACTTGGATGGAGAAGTACATTGTCCAGAATATCGTTTCCCACAATGAAATGCATTCCTTTTTTTATTATTTTGCCAAAAGTTGAGACATTCTCTATAAAAGTGTATTAAATTGCAATATTGCTAAAATGTGCAGTTTAAACCTTAGTTTATTCCCAATAAACTATTATAAAATATAGTAAACTATTCCCAGTTTAAACCGCAGTTTATTCCCAATAAATGTGTCAGTGTAGTATACTACAGCTTAAAGGCAGGGTAGGTGATTTGCTCCAGAAACATTTGTTATTATGCTGGTTGAAAGTCTCTTCACATCCTGATAGCAATCATTAAGTTAAGTGGTCTAAATGTATTTATATGTATATATATCGTCTGTGGAAGGCATAGGACCATAAAATATTCGTCCAATAATTGCATTCGCTCCTACTTGCCTGTCAACGTATGCAAATTCATACATTGGCGTACGATGCTCAGGCAGGCATCACACGTGCTATGCAGAGTTAGACAGACGTCAGTCACCGAGCACCACAACCGAAACAGCAGCACCTTTTACAGTTCCTCCTGAACCAAAACAACACGCTCACCCTGCGTTCACTTTCGTAACTTGAATACGTTTTAATGGCGACACTATCAACGCCGAAATGAATCTGCAGCAGTCAGGTGGGACAGGTCAGCGCTCTTTAATTTGATGTTCATTATTATTTTAATGTTATGTGCTTTGAGACATGAGGTAGTTTAATGCTGTCTCTCCTGATGCTTTGCTCCCTGCAGTACAAGGTCATGTGTTTTGAAGGAGGCGTGGCTTTGGAGACGCCGCCTACTGTTTTGTTTTTAGAAAAAATATATGTGCAACAGTAACAGTATGTAGTATGCACCAGTAAATGTTTTAAAGGTATGGTAGGTAATTTTCAGAAAGGCTAGCAATAGTGAGCTAGCTTTGAAAGCATAAGATCACACCCTCTATTCACCCTCTCTTTTGAATAGAGGGTGTGATTTATGCTTTCAAAGCTAGATCACTATTTACTGGTGCATACTACATACTGTTACTGTTGGACATATATTTTTTCTTAAAACAGTCGGCAGTATATAGTACTGTGTAGTACACTATATACTGTGTAGTATGTAGTGTGCAGAATGTATTTATTTGTCTCAGATGGGGAAATGTGTTTTTTCATCCAGTGGTCAGCAGGGGGCAGCAGCTCCTTTATTTCTTAATTGTGTCTGTAACCTACCTGCATGCATACAGAGTTTTAGCGTGTATTCCAGGGGCAGTCCAATCCTGCTCCAGGAGGGCCACTTTCCTGCAGAGTTTATCTCCAACACACCTATCTGAAAGTTTTTAGTGATCCTGAAGAGCTTGATTAGCTGGTTCAGTTGTGTTTAATTAGGGCTAGAAATAAACTCAGCTGGAAGGTGGCCCTCCAGAAGCAGGAATGGACACCTATGGGGCAAGTTGCATAAACATAGCCATTATGTTAAAGTCTGCCTGTAAGTCAATAACTGTATCCCTTAAAACTCATCTTTGATCACCAAAATGACATATTTCAAAGTTTTTTTTCCCTTGAAAAACGTTTTCCTTTAAACACAGTATTAAGAACAAGAGTATTGAGAACAAGAAGATAGTAATCATTCTTACTCTTTGATTTCAAATTAGACCAATATATGTTTTTAAAGAAGACTTAAAAAAGATATTGAACAGTGATAAAGAAAAAAAAAACGTGACTAACTTGTAAAAAATATTGTCTTGGCAGTTTATGCAACCGGCACTGGTGTATGTGTGAAAGAAAAATATATAGATTTGCTGTTTCCGTATGACAGTGTGTTCTGATGTCATCGCTCTCTGATGACCTCATACCTCCAGGCGGTCTGTTCTGAGGAGTTTCTGGGCAGCCACAGCTGAAGCAGCAGCGGCTGCAGCGTTGGCAGCGGACGGCATGGATGCCACTCCAGGGTTGCCCGCCATCAGCATCTGTGTGTTGGGCATGATCTCCGCCGACATCAGCCCAGGTGACACTGGGCCCAGGTACGGATTGAACGCAGCCGCGGCAGCCGCTGCAGCAGCCGCACTGGCGTTGGTTGCAAGGCTTGGCGCGACCGAAAACATAGGCTGAAACAGACAATAAATAACAACAAATGAAACTTTATGGGACTTGTGTAAATTATACAATCAAGAGTCAAAAAATAATGGTAGTTGACTATTATCCATGCTTACAAAAAAGGACTGTGGCAGTACAGGGTTTAGTGGTATTAATTTTTTTTTTTACCATATTCATATTATCATCATGACATTGTCCAAAAAAGCATTTTCTTTTTCTTTTTTGTTAATCATTTATGACATAAGTACATTTTAATATAATACATCTGCTATAATATAACATAAATGATTATAATTTATTACATTAATAAATTATAATACATTATATTAATAATAATATTAAAAAACATATTACCCATATATTATACTACAGTATTGTCAGGAATGGTTGTTGTAGTAACACGCACGACGAAAGGAGTAGAGAACAAAAACAGTCTTTTATAAAGCCTGTTTTTCAGGCAAACTCGGGTAGATGGGAACAGGGAAAAAAGAACCAAAACACACTATACATGTGACAAATTTAATAGAAGTCATTATAATTTATTATATTAATATAATAAATTATAAAGAATATTTAAAAAAAACACATATATTTCACGGGATAAATTAACTTAATTAAAACAATATAATTCATTGCAATTTATTATATCAATGCATTATATTAATAACAAAAATATAAAAAAACACATATTACCCATATTTTATACCAACCCACCTTATTGTATTTGATATATGTAATAAATAAATACAACATAATGTAATGAATTATATATAAAATATTAAATATCTTGGCAAGTTACCTATGTAATGGACCTTTCTTAAGGCTGTTCACACCAAGGACGATAACTATAATGATAATGATTCAGATATAGTAAAAACAATCGTTTTAAATATAATAGAATAGCAGAGTCTACACCACAACTTTAACAATAACAGTACAGAGAAATTATCTGAAATTAACAATAACAGTACAGAGAAATTATCTGTTAAATAACAGTACATAATTTGTTATTTTGAATAACTTTTGAAAGTTTGAATAACTTTCAAAATGATTTTTTTTCCAGCTGAGGAAAGATAAAAACAATGACAGCCAATCAGAATCCATCCTTTAAAATCCTTTCCAGCTTTAAAGAGTTCGAGCATTTAAAGTGGGAGATGACAAAAGCACAGCTTGCACTTAGAATAACAGAATTATATTGTCTGCTGATGTGGACGCTAATATAGTTAACGTTCTTGGTGTGAATGGGCCTTTATACTCCAAAAGCCAAAGGTCATTAAATATATATATCATAATACAAATCATGTTTATGCTTATTTACAAAAAAATGCTTATGTGTGGGTAATCACTCTTGCTTTTTTAAGGGGGTAGGTTAAAAGAATGGAGCCTCACCATTGGCTGAAGCTGACTTCCAGGCATGATGGCATTGGCTAGCTGCATCTGCTGGGCGAGCATTGCCATGTTCTTCTGCTGGATCAGATTGTTACGGCCGTTTATCTCCAGCTGAGTCTTCAGGTGAGGAGGAGGGTGCAGGTACTTACAGTTCTCTCTGGAACAACGACCCTGAGACAGAGGAAGAACGTGAGGAGAAGAAAAGAACATAACAAATATTAAGCCTCGTGTTTTATTGAGTCTGATTTGAATGTTTTTAGGTTATATTTGTACCTGTAAAACATAATAGTCATTCATTTGTATATATATATATATATAGATATAAATCATGCTTATGCTTAGTTACAAAAATGCCTATATATAGAATCTGCCTGTGAGTCATCAAGGGTTTATACCAATCGGGCAAATTTGCATCTGAAAATTCATTGCATTAACACTAGACAGTAAATGGCATCTCCTGTTCTGTTCTGGTTCACTCTGTTAGGGTTAGTAGATAAAAGGAACACCCTGTTCCCATTCCAGCTGACAGTATTGAGTGCATGGGAAAGCCCTGTGCTAATGCATCTGAATGCAACTTCGCAACTGCTTTCAGCCCATGTGGAATCGGCCCTGACATAATGTCACTCAATTGACCAGCGGAGTATTGATGAACTGGCCACATCAGTGCGAGAGAAATTCATCTGATGAGTTTATGGATCTACAGTAACCCCGCGTGACCCGAGAGGATGAGTGTGTGTCTCTGGGCTGCGTTGGCGAGAGCATGTCCAGTGAAGACGGTCATTAACCTTCTCTTATCTGACGCTGTCATCATGGCTGTGACCAAAATAAAGCCTTTTTGACAATTTCTGTAGTTAAATGTTCAATTATCTCAGCAACCAGCACTTTAACAGAGTGTTATGCAGTCGTGTACTATGCAGACCGGTGGACGGATCCTATCTGGACGACCACACGGGGCTAAAACCTTTCTGGAAATGGAATTTACTTCTCCTCAAAAGTCCCAATAATAAAAAAAAATGCATTACCATTCAAAGGTTTGGGGTCGATATGATGTTATCATGTTTTTGAAAGTCTCTTATGCTCATCAAGGCTGCATTTATTTGATTCAAGATACATTAAACAGTGATGAAATATATATACAGTGTATATATAAAACGGCATCTTTCATTTAACCCTTCACATTCCAAACCAAACTGAATAGGTAGAGTTGAAGGTTTTATTTCCTCAAAAAGATTTAGATGTTTATTGTCAAATTATGAATTCCTAAAATAACATTAGAACGGATGATTTTTTATTCAAAAGAAAAAAGTTTTTACTTTTTACACTATCATTTAAAAGCCACTGTCCAGCAGAACTGAGCTCCGACCCTAATTAAACACACCAGAACCTGCTAATCTAGATCTTCAGACTCAAGTAGAAACTTCCAGGAAAGTGTGTTGGAGCATAACTCAGGACGTTTGCCCGTCAGGAGCAGGATTGGCCAGCCCTGAGCTAGATCAAGTCCATAGTATGCGGGAGACATGTTAGACAAACATTGTGGACGAGAGGTCAGGTCAGTTAATTCGAGGGAAAAATAGCAGGGAGTCAGATGTCCCCCACAGTATCACACACACAAACACCCCCCTAAATGTTAAGCCCTCTCTGGGTCGGTCTTCCTCCACTATCATACGTTGACAGGCATGATCGATTCATCCTGGTCACTGATGATGTCACAAGCGAAGACCTCCACAGGCTGAAAATACTATAAATCAGGTTTTTCCCACAACACAAATAAACTAGGAACTTTTCAATAACAAGTCTTGATTTGATAATCACATTTACACAACAACACGACACATTAGCAGTTTGGTAACGCATACATTCCAAAACAACGTTAGAGGATTAACAATAGCCTAAGACCGTTGGTAATAGTTGTAAATGATTCAGATTGAATTCACTTTCTAGAACCGGTCAGCAATACACTAGAATTAGAGGCTAAAGCAGATAGCAGAACATTCTAGAACTGTGAGGTAAGTTTGCTCTCCTATCTATGCAGTATGTAATAAATAAACAAAACACACACGTCCTCGGCCGTGAGCTGGCCAATCAAAAAGTGTCTGACTGGTATTCTGTGAGCTGAAGTTTCTACCATCTGTTTAAGACATTACAAAAGCTGGCCTCTGTGAAACCACACTGAGCTATGAGAGGATGAACACGCAAATATATCTTTCTCAAAACTATCTGACTTTATTTACAACTGCATTTCTGCTAATTTGATTTGTGCAACTCCAATGAAAGTGACAAAGTATCTCGTACTCAAAAATTAGAGTTTCAAAATTCAATTGACCGTTGCTAAACCCGACTACAAATTTTACTGACCAATTCTTAGCAGCTGTTGCTGTCTGCCTATATTATAATTATTACTATTTAATTCATTTTTCAATGTAAGTTTCTATGTGTTTGGATCATTTAAAATAGAATTTTATAGAAAATATAAAAAAGGCCAAACAGTGATAAGCCATAGTGTTTAATGTACTGCATTTTACACTTTTTAAAGGAAAATTGCAGATTGAAATGCTTCGCAATGTCACTTCATTTCAGCCTATTGAGTTTTTTTTACTTTATTAATTAAAAAAATATTGTTGGTTATTATACTAATTATTACAATTCAATATAATAATTATACAATATTTTATTATATTATTTTACTTAATAAGTAATGTTTTCATTAAATTATTTATTCAATTTTTAAAATGTATTTGCCACAAATTCAGACAATGATCCACTAACCAACATCTCCAGCCTGTTAACATTTTTATAAATATATTTTTTTCCATGTAAAATAGTAAAAATATCCCTGCATGCATGGACATTATTATTCCCAGACATGGAGTCACTGACACGTCATATTTGTCAGCAGCACAATTAAAAATGGGAGGAAAGTTAAGATTCAACTATGAATGTAAGCAATGAAAGTGGTTATTGGATCACAATGTATGTGTGTGTGTGTGTGTGTGTGTGTGTGTGTGTGTGTTTTAAGCGGGTTCGTGCATGTAGAAGGGTGTGCGAGTGGGGTGAGAACATTCTGTGAAAGGTGTGACACAGGCCTACTGAGCATGTGCGAGAAATGTACTGTACTTTCACTGACCTGCCGAAAGGACGAGGAAAGGAAAGCATGGTGGAAAGGAAAGAATGAGGTTGAAGAATAAAAGAAAAAAGTGTTTATGGGAGGTGGGTGAAATGGGGCGAGCCGTGCGAGTCGAGTTGCATTAACCCCAGCTAACTCCACTCGCCCCTACCTGTACCCTTCTGCAGTACAGCAGCATAGGGGCTCAGGTCACATGACCGCCACATGCAAGGACATGCTGCGCTTTCACTGGTTTTCTGACATATTGTGTTGTTTTAAAAATGATTCATATAACTGAAAAGTCATTCAGTGGAAGAAAACGAGTTCTGCAGTGAGATCTGGAGTTATGGGGTTCTTAACCAAACCTTAAATCAACCTAGAATTGTATATATTTTCTCTCGAAAATAACTCTTTCTTTTGTAGTTGCAAACACTGAATCAATCATTTTTGTTCCTTTTTTCTGTTCACAATACTTTATGAATGATGATAAGTGGATTAAAAGTGCCCATGTTAGAAATAAAACACAAGTGGACCCCAAAAGTATTTGGAAACTAAATATGAATATTTAATGCAATATAATGCAAAAATATATTTATAAAGAATGAAGGTAATTAATATATTGACAAAATATACTTTTAACAAACTATATTTTTTTGAAGACCCAAACTTTTTATCGTTTTATTTTTTAATTATTCTGGCCTTGTTTGCATATATGCAAAAAAAAAAAAAAAAAAAAAAAAAAAAAAAAAAAAAAAAATCCACTATAAAAATAAGTAACACTTCATAATAAGGTTTGATTTGTTAACATTATTTAATTATATCAGTTAACATGAACTAATGATAAACAATACTTCTACAGAATTGATTAATCTTAGTAAATGTTAATTTCTACCTTTACTAATACATTATTAAAATCAAAGTTGTATCTGTTAACATTAGTTAATTCACTGTTACCTAATATGAACAACAACTGTATTTTTATTAACAAAAAGCTGTAAAAAAATATATTGCTCATAGTTAGTTCATGTTAACTAATGCATTAACTAATGTTAACAGATGAGACCTTATTGTAAAGTGTTACCCATAACTATACTTCCATTTTTAGTGAATATAACTATAACTAACTATAACTTCATGAAGCACCTATCAGAAGTGCTAATATGATATTTTGTTGTCGGTAGTGTTTTTCAACAGGAGTGAAAAACCTTCAGTTGTGCACTGCAGGAAATGCATTTGAAACAGGATCCTCAGACAGTGCATTATAGACAGCGCTGTCAGTGAAATCAGAGAGGCTAGAGAGAAAGTCATTCCTGACCGTCACTCGGCCACCCAACAGCTGAGAGAGAGAGAGAGAGAGAGAGAGAGAGAGAGAGAGAGAGAGAGAGAGAGAGAGAGGATGCACTCTTTCCAGCACTGGTATGGCAGGTCGTAAAGGTCACTGCTTCCATATGGCAACATATAAGCACTGTTCCAAAAAATAGAGGATACGTGCATCACCTTAGTTGAGGCTAAAGAGATCGTAAAACTAATCCATATGAATTGAGCGGTTTAGTCCAAATTTTCGGAAGAGATACGATCGGTTTATATGATGAACAGATTGAATTTAGGCTTTTATTCACATTGGAACAGTCATCAACACACACATCAGTTGTGGTAAACGGAAGCTCAAGAATGTTCGCTTGACGTGTAAGAACCAATGAGGTTCATTCTCGTGTTACGCATCACTTTTGAGCTTCAGCAAGAACCAATGAGGTTCATTCTCATGTTCCTCAAGAACCAATGAGGTTCGTTTTTGCGCGTCAAGCAGGTTCGGTTGAGTTTCTGTCTATGTTTACTGATCAATATTTATATGTGAATAAAAGTGTAAATTAAATCTGTTCATCATATAAATCGATCGAGTCTCTTCAGAAAATTTTGACTAAACCGCTCAATTCAAATGGATTAGTTTTACTATCTCTTTATGAACTTTTTGAAGCGTCAAAGTGGTCGTTTTACTGTAAAACAAGAAAGAAAAAACAATTAAAGGGATAGTTCACCCAAAAATGGAAATTCTGTCCACATTTACCCA